AATTGTTACACTTGAGCTCCGGGAAAATGTACATGAAGAAAAGGATAATAGCTGATGTGATCCTGCATGTCTTTTCTCTTGAAATTAGCTCGCATCACTTTGGGATTAAGCTCATTGTTTGTGTGTGTGTGTGTGTGTGTGTGTGTGTGTGTGTGTGTGTGTGTGTGTGTGTGTGTGTAAGGTTAATAAAAGTTAGGAACGAAAGTTTTGTTAAAAAACAAGCTTTCACACACACACACACACACACAATGTGAGGGAATACTTGGTACGGCCCTTATGGGACAACATTTGTGGTAATTCATTCAAAATCCATTTTAACGCATTGTGCAGGCCTAAGTGCCAATCTTCCTTTTTGGTGAGTTTCCATGATTTTATGTCTCAGATAAAACGATGCAGTTTGCTCCACAATGGCCTATTTAAGTTACATTACCGCCGAATATTCCCCAGTAAAGAAAATTAAGCCGTGATGCTGTGAGATCATCTCGTTTAGTCTTCTCCCCGCCGAGATGTGTCGCTTCGACACCCCGCGGAGAACTCAATGATTCTCTTGGACGAGAGATAATAGTGTGATCTCCGTCTCCGTCCCTCCTCCTCACTTTACCGAGCTTCGTCCAGAAAATAAGCTGCATGTTACGCCTTGTACAATGCTGTTAAAGGTTGACAAAGGATGCCAGAGTTTTCACTCTTCCCAGATTTTGTGTTTTCCCTCATACAGCAGTTGATCTTCAGTGTGAACATTTTTAAGGGGAGGCTTCCCGACACAGATTGAAATCTGAGCTTTCCAACGAGCACTTGAACATGGAGACATAAAAACACTCTTGGCTCTCAAGTCCATTATGAAGAGATGGTAATGAAACTTGGACCATGAAATAAAGCCAGCTATTACTCACTCGAATGCCTTTGCCATGTCATGCCACTTTTAAATCTGGAATTCGTAACACTTCAGTGGCTAATTTGTTTATCTTGGCGGTGGAAATTGTTCAATTTCAAAGAGAGAACCACAACCACGCACACAAACAAACACGCACTACATCTGACCTTGTACAGGCACTCTCTTTGCCTTTAAAGCGCACTGTAGCGCCCAGCAGTCTGTCTGCTACTGAAGCTAATTGGCTTCAGCTCAGTGTTCACTGTTAACGTCTCATTACTCATTCCACTTAGAATAACTTCCACAAGTTTGCTTGTGTTCGGGGGTCATTAAAAGTCAAGCAAGCCTTTAATTACAAAAGCGGCTCGTTCAGTAAGTAAAGTTACATCTCCCAGCAGCTCAGAGTATAAAGTATATCCACAGTAAGTCCTGTATAAAGTCACACATGAAATGCAGCCACAGTGGAACAGAGGATTGATGGATTGATTGTGTTTTATGTAACTATGCAACGCCTACACCATTTTATGTAGTAAGGAAACAGCAATAGACAGACACAAAAGCACTCATGCCACTACAGAAATGGTCCATATAGCAGGGAAACAAATCTATGTCCGTTTTTTACGTCATCCGAGGGATTAAAAGACAAAAAGGTCCTTTAATCTTTGGCCTCTCGTTGGTTCCATTAATTGCATTATTGCCAGATGGATTATGTGACGGGGAGAAATATAATTTTCTCTTAAATAATAGAGACAAAAAAAAGAAGTTAAAAGAAAAAAAATTAACAAAATCCTATGGGGCTTGTGTATTCAATTACGAAGGATTTGTGGTTGATAAAGACACTCGCTTCTCTGGGCATTGCATCGTGTGTGTGTGTGTGTGTGTGTGTGTGTGTTTGTGTTTGTGTGGGTGTTTTAATACACTTTTTTCAATAATTCACTCTGACTAATGTTCCAGATCTTCTGTGAAATATGGGGATCTTTAGTGGTGGGTCTGCTGCGCTAATTGGTAACAACCGCCCCGAGGCGAGCTGCCGTCGAACAAACCGAGCACCGATCACCGGGCTGCGTGTCGCTTGGTACGCGGACACAGTAGAAATAGAAGGATGACAAATAAAATCGGCTCTACCTTACTGGTGACATGGATATTACACATGTGCCACATTCCAAATGAAGGTATAAATAAAAATGAAATTGACCAAAATGTTCCAATACAGAGATGGAATTTTAGTGAGCGGCCCTTGGCTTAAAAAGTGGTGTTTAATCTCATAATATTATATTATGTGACTAAACGTCTATACTGTTGATCAAGATCAATGCTCTGTATAGACCAACGAACATACTCGTCATATTGATACTGCAATAAAAACTCGCGAGATTGATGGATGCAGGTTGGGAAAGTGGAACACGCACACTCACTTGCGCAAGACCCATAATCCACAATCCTTTTTTCCTCATCAAGGGGAATGGGTGGACCTAATACCAAACGTTATTATTTCCTCCTGTGTATTTAAGATGTGTGTTAATTGTAATGCACGGTAAATCTTCGCTGCACATAAACAGAAGACTGGCATTCATTAAAAGACTCGCGGCATTAAATCAGGATTAAAACACGGGGCATGCAGGGCGACTGTGCACCATATTGTAGCCTACATCTGCCTTTAAATCCACAATAAATTAATAAAAGCAATGGTAGGTTGTTAACGGGTTGGCTGGAAACGCAGTTTGGCACATTGTCAAATAATATTTGATATCTTCTGTGTCTCTTTTTTAAACAAAAGATTAATCTGAACAATTATAATCTGGGCCCGGGAAGTAAATTAGTAAAACAAAACAAAAAATGACGTTTTGTTTCATTTGACCAATGGCATTTGATTAAATAGTTGAGATACATTTATTTATTTTTTGGGCTCCGGTGCGTATTGAGGAAAGAAGGTGATGCATTTCAATATGGTAATCACTCACCCGCGGCATGTTTCCTTTATTGACAGATTTGATGTTAAATGTCTCAAACTCACTTAGTGTTGTAGCTCTTAATTTATTATGTTCTTCGCTCTCTCTCTCTCTCTCTCTCTCTCTCTCTCTCTCTCTCTCTCTCTCTCTCTCTCTCTCTCTCTCTCTTTCTCTCTCTCTCTCCCTCCCTCTGTGACCCTTCGAGGTCACGCAAGCAATTCTTTTTTTAAACGCATGATTAATTTCTCAGTAGGGGCGACGGGCAAAAGCATTATGAAGAAACGTGAAATGTATTCCAAAGGGGCTGGTCGCGCTATTGTATTCCAATAAGCCCCTTTCCTGCTGCACGCGGGTTAGACACGCTGCGCCTTTGACAACATGTCAGGCATCTTTCACGTGTCATTATTATCTTTACAAAAATAAATGTTTCACTGTCGTTTAAAAGCCCGGGATTTCGCCGGTAATTGTTTTATTCGGTATGTCAGTGTGGCCATGAGCTCGGCTCATTTTTTATTATTATACACACATAGTTGTACAAATCAATTTATAAAACATGTTTTACATTGAGGTTAACTCTGCCGAACGTTTCACCAAAAGTTAATTAATACACTTTTACTCACCTTTACTGAAAGCAATGGCCGATTAACATGAAAGTCAGTCATTTATAACATACATTACAAAAATACTTATTGATACGGACTGTTATTGTGATTTTGTCAATTTACTTCACTCATCGCTCTATTGTGACGTCATCCGCTTTAGTCCCCCCCCCTCTTGTCCCTTTGCAGCCAGTGTTCCCGTGGAGTCCGTCCACGACACAAAGGCACGCGCGGGGACAACCTAAATTGGTTTGAAAAGGAGCAGATGGGTCTCATGCTGAATGCTTTGTTGCGTACACGCACGCACACACACATATTTAACTCTGCGGCTGAGAGTCACCCTGGCCTGTTTATCAAGATAGATATTGAGGTTAATAATACTTTTTACGTTTTAAAAACGATTAATAAACTTGTTGGACCAAATACTCTAATATAATAATTCAAAATCCAGTTTTAGTGTAGTTTAGTTTCTTAAATCATTTGCAAAATAATTTAGAAAAAGCGATTGTTTGCACTTAAATTGAAGTACATTCCAATCCCCCAAATGACAAAAGGCAAATTGCCAAGTTATGGCAGCAATGCATGTGGACTCGGTTAACTGTTACAGAATGTGCAACTAAACCAGACTGAAGTACAAGTAAGACCTGGTGCAAGAGCTCTGGAGCAGGGGTGCAGAAAAGTAATCCAGAGCCCCTCTCATGGAATTCTTATCCGGAAATTTTGTTAAGTAAAATACCTTTGAACAAAACTTTTTTTTGAAGGAGCCTCTGCAGGTGAATTGTCTCTGCCTTTTCACAGCATCGGGCTCTAACTGGGAGCCCCTCAGTCCCTCGATTACTTATGCATACTGCCTTTCATCTCCAACCACCTGCACGTAGAGAATAAGCCTTCTCAGCCCCGACCGATCAGCTGTGCGTGCGTGTCTCAGCCTTTTATCTCCGCACGGTTTCTGTCTTTGAAAGCCACATTTCCGATGCCAAGCCCCTCAGGGGTTGTGCGTTTTAAAGTCACACTCGTTTGACGTGTCCCTAAACTCTCAAACGTCTACGATCCCCCACGCAGCACCACCCACTAACGCACGCGCGCTCAACCTGCAGACGCCCATCTGACGGCGACGGCTTGTATTGAATGTATTTTGTATTAAGTCACGAATAAAGCTGGAAACCCCCGGTTCACCTGCTGTGTTTGTTAGAAGAGAATATATTGCGATTATCGTCACAGAGGAGAAGGGTGTGTGTGTGGGGGGGGGGGGGGGGGTTCTTTCGTCCGCCCTTGCAGACGCGTTTGACTTTTCCACCGTCTGAGGAGCATTTAGCCGGATGTCACACGTGGCTGCGCACTGCGCGCCAAGGAGGAGGAATAAAGCGCGTGGGTATGTGGGTGAGAGAGAGAGAGAAAGAAAAGAGGGACCATTTAGTCCACGGTCGCGCGCGTCTCTCTGTATGTGGGGCAAAAAAAAAAAAAAGGGAAGAGAAAGGACGGACAGGTATGGACGCAGGGGGAGAGATGGGGGGGGGGGGGGGCGGATTAGCACGGCGCGTGGTGTCTCTGGAAGGCGAATAAAACCGGCGCGAGCGTCGCAGTTTACTCACATCTCACGCGCGAGCTCACTCGAGAGTCGGTACCGGTTCCGTGTGTCTGTTGTTGTTGTTGTTGTTGGGTTTTTCCCCGCGGATACAACCCAGTGAGACCCGGTGTGCTAAAGATGAGTTCTTTCAGCCAATGTGGGATGAATTGATTTCTCTGGTGACGGGGATATTTTTGGACGCGGTGGCCGTTTTTGGGAGTATTCTCGGGAGTCAGAGGTGAGGACAGTTTCACCCATTTATGCTGTAAAGTTGTTTGAAATGTTGTTAAATAAGTGTGCGCGACACGCGCAACGAATATTGCGAGGGACACGACGCATGTTTACAGACGCATTCACGAGGGAATGCGTGTGTGGATTATTCACATTTCGTTGCTTGAATTATTGCTGTTATTTGTATGTATGATAAATAGACAAACAAACAAACTTTAATGTTGTTGTAAGGACTTGACGCCCGACTCACTGACACGCGGTAATAAAGGCCTGCTACTTTGGTAGAAATTAAACTTGTACGGGCTGAGCTGAAAACGTAGCATTCAAATGTACTCTTTTATATTTTCCTTCATTTGGAGATAAATTCTGAACTGTGGTTTTATAATGTTTATTTCTTTATTGGTTTTCCGGCTCATGCGTGCTGCTATTATCCGCCTGAACAGCCGGTCGGCCCACGCGATTCACCCATTAGTCCGTATTGCGCTGCAATAAATTCAAGTTCAACTGGGAACTTTCCATTTTAATATGAGCATGTTATCAGCATGTTACTTGCTAATAATAGCGATGGTTTATCGACTACAGTGTGTAAATGATTGTAATTGGTTGTAAATAAGCAATTTATTTGTCAAAGCAGCATTTCGTGAAGTGACTGAACAAAGTAGTAAATACGTATTTTTTCTTTTTTCCCGAAGTTGTTGATCGTTTTTTTAATTTATGTAACTCACCACAAATGTTATGCGATAGTTTAAAATCTTTGTATTCTAACATTTACTTAATATACATTTAAGCTCTCATTTGAAACACTGAGGCTTTAATTTAATTTTAATTTCTTTTAAGAAATTGTGCTTTTTATTTTATATTTCAAACGTTACCATTTGATATTTGATATTTTAAACATTATAATTTGTTAAATAAATACCATGTTGATGCAAGTCACATGACGCATGACTTCAACATAAACGTCCTCTTCACAGTAAATTCCCTGCCATTTGTGTGGTACTTTTTAAAATATCTTGATAAATGGAACGACATTAACATGTGAAGGAATGCATTTAGTCAGTCTCGCACATGTATGTGCTATCCCATAAAAGTGCCACAACAGATTTATAGGAAAATAAAGGATGACATAGTTATTTAAAAAAACTGTAATATGATTGTTGCCCAAAAATGTCCTTAAAACTGCCCTAGAATTTGATCTGCGCGTGTTTCATTTAAATTTAACACTTGTGGTTAAGGATCAACTATTTAAGTTATTCTGGTTTTAGATTTAAAGACATTTTAAATATGTCCAATTTAAACATTTATTTGTGCCAATATATTTGGGTGGACATGTGAATAATGTAGGATTTATACTGTAACCATTATCTCAGATGACGGTCTCATCTTTTTCCAAAGTTCGATGGAAAACACACACACACACACACAAACACAAACACCCATTACTTAAATATTATAAAGTCTAAATTTACGGGAAAATAATTACCTTTTTGGATGTTCCGTATCTGATTATTTTTTTAAATGCAAAGGAATTGCATTAGAAAAAAATGTTATTTCAGTTTTTCAATTTAGTTTAGAATATTTCTCTGGCCACAATTATTTTTGAGAGTGGTTCGGATGGTAAATCTATTAGCTAATGTTTTGTTGTAATGTTTTACATTTGTTTTACATTTGTAATGTTTTACATTTTTTATTTGTTAACAGATACATTTAATTTGAAAGGAATTAATTTATAATAATATTCAGTGTTTCCATGTGTGTCATCTTAAGTTTCTTTTCTTTTTTTTTTACAAAATACACAACATCATTCTCATTATCATCTGGTCACGTGAAAAAAAATCAACAAATGTGGGTATTTCTTTTCTTTTCATGCAGGTCATTCTACAAACAGTTTTCCTCCAACTATGGACAAGACCCATCTATCGAGCCCTAATGAAATCATAATGACGAGCTCAACAGGCCCATACCAGCAGGAACCCCTGACACCGCCCAGACCTGCCCATCACCACTCCTCATCTTCTTCCTTATCCTCCCCCTCTCCGTCCTCCTCACCCCTCAAGCCGAACCAGGTCGGCCAGGTCATCCTGTACGGCGTTCCCATCGTGTCGCTGGTCATCGATCACAATGAGAGACTTTGCCTGGCACAGATTTCCAACACGCTCCTCAAGAACTACAGCTACAACGAGATTCACAACCGGCGCGTGGCGCTGGGCATCACCTGTGTCCAGTGCACTCCGGTTCAGTTGGAGATTCTTCGTCGGGCCGGCGCCATGCCCATCTCGTCGCGCCGCTGTGGCATGATCACCAAGCGCGAGGCGGAGCGCCTCTGCAAGTCCTTCCTGGGAGAGAACGCGCCGCCCAAACTGCCGGACAACTTTGCCTTCGACGTGACACACGAGTGCGCCTGGGGTTGCCGCGGTAACTTCATCCCGGCGCGCTACAACAGCTCCAGGGCCAAATGCATCAAGTGCTCTTTGTGCAACATGTACTTCTCCCCGAATAAATTCATCTTCCACTCTCACCGCACACCGGACGCCAAGTACACCCAGCCCGACGCTGCCAACTTCAACTCCTGGCGACGGCACCTCAAACTCTCTGACAAACACCCAGCCGATGAGTTAGCCTTTGCGTGGGAAGACGTCAAGGCCATGTTCAACGGAGGCAGCCGAAAGAGAGCGCTGCCCTCTTCGTCGCACTGCTCCTCCATGGGTCCCATGAAGACTCTCCCAGGTTCGGTGCTGCCCCACATGATGGGACCCGACATGGTCTCTCAGAAAAGAGCCCGCTTCGAGGAGGACGACGATTTGGATGGAGGCAGTCTGTCTCCGCGCAAGCCGCCACGTAGCTACCCTGTCATCCCTGTCCCGAGCAAAGGCTTCGGCATGCTGCAGAAGTTCCCCCCCACGTCGCTCTTCCCCTCGCCTTACCCCTTCCCGGCGTTCGGCCTCTGCCAGCAGAAGAAAGATGACAGTGATGTTTCAGGTGGCCAGAAAGGAACGGGGCTGTCGGGTCTTTTATGGCCTGGCCGCAAAGACACCTTTTATCCTCCTTTCTGCATGTTTTGGCCCCCACGGGCAGCGGGAGGAATCCCCGTCCCCACCTACCTCCAGCCTCAGCCCAGCGCCCTCTCCTCCCTGGCAGACAACCCCTCTCTCAGGCAGGCCTTTTTGGATCTCTCAGACCCCAGTGAGCCTGGAGCTATAGCTGGCAACGGCAATGGCGTCAGCGCAAGCATGGCCCCCGGCAGCGGGACTACAGCAACCAGACCGGGGCTGTTTGAGCCCGAGTGTACGACGGTGGCCCCTGACCTTCGTCCTGTGACGTCAGAGGGCTGGCTCAAACTCCTGGACACCCCGGCCCTCCAAACCAGGAAGCCGAGCTACGGCTCGGCCTTCCGGCCTGTCATCAAGGATGCCGAGAGCATCGCCAAGCTCCACGGCAGCGGTGGAGCCGTCACTGGGACAGCAGAGGAGGACTTTGGGGTCGTGGTCGCCAGGTCAGACCGCCACCAGCGGCTATCGCCCACCAGCAGCTGTAGTTACGGAAGTGACAGTGGAGGAGAGGGAGAGGCGGAGGGGTTGGAGAGCGAAGAGGAAGGGGAGGTGGATGTGGAGTCGTCGAAGCAGGAGGACGAGGAGGAGGAAGGGACCTTTACAAACAGGCCGCCGCGGACTCAGACCAACCTGTACCTCCCCGCGATGAGCGACGGCCATGGAGAGGAGAGGGGGAAGGAGCGAGGGAGGTACGGCAGCACCTCCCCTCCCTCCTCCGCGGACCCCACCCAGCATGGGTCCTCCAGCCTACCCGCCTCCCCGACTGCCAGCCTTCCTCTCTCCAGTTCCACCCCACCTCACCGAGAGGACCCAGCTTACAAAAACGTAAATATCCCCCTAGGCCACTTTAGCTAATTATTATTTAAATGGTGCTGCAGTCTGCAGGCAGTGATGTGATCTGCATAAGCAGATTGATAGGCTGGTTTCTCCCTGTAGAAATTGAAACAGTCAACCCACTCTGATCCCGGCTAATGGGCCCAGGTGTGGGTTGTTTAATGGCCACGGCGTGTTTGTTCTCCCTGTGTCACCCCAGCCTGTTAGGGCAACTCTAATCTTTAACCTGTCGACTCCCACATTAGCAGAGGCCTCAGAGAGAGAGAGAGAGAGAGAGAGGAGGGAGGGGGAATTATGAGAAGCATTTTCAAACCAGAACAGAGCGAAATCATCCTTTGAATAAGCAAATACAGCGGACTGATTTCAAAGACGGGGGTGGGGAAAAAAAGGGGTTTAACCGTATATTCTAAATTGGATTCATACTAAATGAATGCCACAATGGGTTGATGGAAAAAGCAGAGCGCCAAGCTGGGAAAATTATATTTGCCAAGTATTGAGTCACTCTTTAGACTGCAGATTAAAATTAAAAGGGAGCAGATACTTATGGAATAACAAATGAAATCCCATGTTGACAATAAACACATCAAAGAATACAAATTACAAAGGCATTACGGTGTTTATTGGACTTGTTGTTCTGCTCTGTTGTAATTTAACTGCATACCGAATTCTTATCGATATGTTTTTCTTCAGCCTCAGAAGAATAAAGACGAAGGACTACCTGTCTACGCAACCAAAGACAACTCCAGCATTTCTGGTGAGTACATTTTCATGCTCTGTTTTCAAATTCATATTCTAGGATGCTGAAGTTAAAAAGTCCATACGTTTACACTGACAAAATGGCCCTTAGAAAAACATTGTTTTTACATTACAATATAGAATATAGAAATATCAAATCAGCTTTGTGAAATTCACAATTGTTTAATCTCTTAAAATTTTCAATTAATTACTATAATTTGTAAAAACAAAGTACAGTTCTGTTTGTACATATAATACATGAAAAATATGAGTTCCTTGACACTTCATCTTTCACCCGAGAGTCTTTGTTTCATTCGGTGTCTGAGTGAGTGGTTTTATAGTGTCTCTGTGTCCCACATTCCTGTGACGTTTCATTTGCTCCTCTCATCTCCCACTCTGACCCTTTTCGCTGAGGAAAATGTCTTTGTGTGTTTCTCCCTGCTGTTCTCACGTAGATGCACACAAAGGACACACACCGTGCGCACACTTAGTTATCTCCATGTGTCCGGATAACCAGCTCAACCAATGGGCCTTACTGACAATCTTTTCCCGTCTGTCTCACTGTCTTTTTCTGTTTCATTTTCTCCCAGATGAAAACAAAGAGCAGAATAGTTTCTTTGTACCGGAGAGCGAAACGTCGGCGCCTGACTACTGGAGGGAAAGCTCAGGTACGAATATTCCCTTGACTTTTTTGTGCTTGCCAAACAGCTGCAGATGGCAAAACAACAACGCAATGAATGAAGAAAATACAGTAAGAAATGTAAATGTTAGGGAGGTATACTTTAATTCCAGAATTTGGCTTCACTGTCTCGCATTGCCGAACAGCTAAACAAAACATTTGAAAGTAGATTTTATTTTCAGTTCAATGTTAAACAGGTATCAATGTTGAAAGGTAAATCAAATATTAGCACATCATTTAATAAAACATGTGTTATTTAATAGCATATAAAATAAACAACACTTCTTAAAACCATTAGACTCAATATACTTTGGTGTCAATTTAAAGAATTTAGACTGTGCATACTTAAAGCGAAGGTAGAACTCTCCTTAGTCTCCAGCCTCCTCCTCCCCCTCCTCCTCCTCCTCCTCCTCCGCTCAGACGTGAGTTAGGGGAGTCATATAAATACACAGAGATGAAACAGCAGCGGAAAGCGGATTCTGCTGCCGCTCTGCCGCGGCTGCTCTCTTAAGCGGCGTTGTCGCCGGGGCTGTTACTCTTAGGGGGGCCGTTATAGTTCAACAAGAAAACATCAGCTTCAGAGATAAGCAGCCACGCTGGCAATCTCCATCCTAGACCCGTATCCCCGCCGACATAATTGCCATTTCTTTCCCCCTCCTCAGCGCAAAAAAACCTTTCCTGTTTGAAAAAGATCACAGCTTATTGCCTTTTTATATCTGTCAGGAAGACATTAAAAGTGCTTTATGACATCTGTGCCAACATTTATATCTACCCCCCCCACTCCCACACACACACACACACACACACACTCCCTCAACCCCTACACACACACACACACCGTAATGATCCCTGCGCATAATGTATTTCGAAAAATTACACGAAACAAATTAAATGAGACCACCTTTCCCCTGATTGCCAAACGTCTCCCTGGGCGGTGGGAAGCTCTACGTGATTAGAAGGCCTGATTCCACCGAGTCCCCCCCTCCCCCTTCCACTGTCTTTAAACTCTCCCTCTGTTTCTAGGGAGAAAAAATAATCTAATTTTCCATTTATGTAATGCAAACCGCCTTGGCTTTGACTATTCACGGTTAATTGACTGTCAAACGAGGTTGTTATCCTCGGGCACTGTCTGCAAATTTGCTTGTCAAATGAGACAGAGAGAGGAGAGGAAAGGAGAGGAGGAGTGAGGAGAGGAGAGCTCTCTCCCCGGTCTCAATGAGAGGGAAAGAAGCATGGGGAGGCTTAAGGAGCCGGGATATGAAATGACTGGAGGAGAATATACACATTGAGTTTCCTGGATCGCTTCATTTAAGGCGCACAATGCCTCATTGTCACAACTCAGACGATAGCGCAAACGCACACGCCCAGAACAAAAGAGAAACTTTTAAATGGCTGGATCCCAAAAGGCAAATACTTGATGGAGATGGTTGTTAAATGGCAAGCGGATGGAAAACTGTGAAGCTTTAAAGCAACAAGTAGATTGCCTCCAGCAGTCAAACAGCTTTAACAAGTACACAGACATAAGATACTCAAAGTGAAAGCTGCATGACTATGAAAATACTGTTTTACATTGATTTACAGTTTTTCTACCCGCATGCAGTTTTCATAGCCACTGGTATTGGTTTTAGAATAGAAACATTTGAAAACACGGTAACCTGCAGGCTTTCAATTTGTTTTAAGCAAATCAGTGAAGTGGCCTTTTCAACTTTTCAAGCTACAACATTGATTGTTCTGAACGCAGGCGGAGTTCGTTTGTTCTCTTAATAGAGAGCAATATGGTCTGACAGCATGAAGAGATTGAACCTGTCAAGGAGTTATTGCATTGAAGGTCTCCCGCGTCAGCGCTGTCAATTACTGCCACAGAGTCACACCGACACCTAGAGGCCAACGAGTGAACTGCAGGGCTCCGGCGACGAGGACTAATGTTAATGCAAACATAAAGATGAGGGTTCAGTCTATGACACGAACACGATTAATAACTGACTCACATATGTGTTGCATAATAAATATACTGTCTGATGTTCTGATAAACTGTAACTATATTCGGACATTAGGGATGGAACATGTGGGATAGGAATCTGAAGTGAAGTCTCTCCGTTATGTTTTCAGGTGATCGAAGCCAAGGTGCCGCCTCTCCTGTGCCGCTAAAGAAGGATGTCGAGAACATGGAGAAAGGTAAATATTATAAAATACAGTTTGTAGGTCGAAAGTTGCCTCTCCCCTCAGATGGATTGGCCAATACTAATATATAAGTAAATAAAGACGCTGCATTGATACCGAACACCCACCATCTCTCTCCCTCGTTTCATTTGTCCTCCTTCCTGATGTTTCAGAAGAGCTCCAGAAGGTTCTGCTGGAGCAGATTGACTTCAGGAGAAGACTGGAGCAAGAGTTTCACGCTCTTAAGGGCACTTCACCATTTCCTGTCTTCCGTAAGTAACTTTTTTTACTCACGTGGCTTTCCTTATTCATTCTCTGAAGGGTTCTATCCAACCTGCCTCTCTTCCCATGCGTTTCCAAGTCTCCTCCATCCTTCATTAGCTATATGATAATAGCTGCACTTAGAAGTTACTCAACTACTTACTCTAATTTCAGATAATTTCCAAGACCAGATGAAACGAGAGCTCGCCTACAGAGAAGAGATGGTTCAACAGTTACAGATGGTGAGATTACTAATGAAACAATCAGTGCTGAACACTGATGGAAAATACATATTATTGTTACGCCTTTAAACGACAAATGAAAAGCCCTTTTATAGATGTATGAATATAAAAAAGCTCCGCTGCTCGCTTTGAAAAACAATAATGCTAATGCTTTTCAGAAGAAATATAATTAATTATGAAGCAAATTCCAGTGGAAAATAGTTACACTATTTGAACGGGGAAAGAATAACTTAAAAACAATCGGAGAAGTGTGACAATAACAAACCAATTAACTCTGCAGCCATGATAGACTGTAGACATAAATATGAGATCCTGAGCCATGTCTCACGACTGCAACAGAATTAAAGGCAGAGTAGATACAGCCATGAATGTGGGACTGAACTCTTATTGCTTATTTGTCCATCTGAAGACACACAGCCAATCATCTGGTTTGTCTTTCATGGGTGAGAAGTTCCTCTGCAGTCGTCTCAGTGTTTCTGTCCACATCAATCACGGGAGCAGCAGGCAGACAGGCTGACAGACAGCGTTTGTCTTTGCTCTGTGACAGACGCTCGTGTGCGCGTGGTGTCAAACCCAGCGCGTACACACACACACACACACACACACAAGAGCGCGCTGCATGTGTGTAACCGCAAAGGCAGACGACTGAAGGGCACGTGCATGAAAAACACTTTCAAAATTGACTAATGTGTCTAGAAGCAGCAGATGGATCTGTCTGATACTAATGATACACTAATGTCACACAGACATTCAGATTAACATCAACATGTTCGATGTATGTTGCTGCAGAATTTCCATTGAAGATATCAAACCTAAACATAAACATTTAATTATTGTATTTGGAATCATCAGTTTAAATGAATCAACTTATTATTAATACTTTATTTAAAATGTAAAAGCTATTTAGTAAGTCATTTAAGTGAAATGCTTTTAGCGTTTGGTTGCATCCTTTCCCAAGGTTACTGTGAAAATGAGGAAGGTCTGCGAGGCCATACGAATACCATATTCTGTATGTAAAATATAAAGAAAAGAAAACTAATATCTGTCTCTGGCCTTTTGTTTCTTTCAGATTCCCTACGCAAACATCATCAGGAAAGAAAAGATCAGCTCCCATTTGAACAAATAACTAAAAGGTGATTGAAATCATTTCATTTGACAGTGTAGCTTATTAATAGAAAAATTCCAACTCAGTTGATGTCAAGTGAGGATATAAGCATTTTGTTGTTTATAACACAAGCAGCCGGAGTAAGTTCAGCAAAGTTTAATTGCCTTTCAAATAGTTGTAATAGTTTTTTGGAAGCTGCCACCACATTTAACGTGACTAGGGGCAAACATATGTATCCGCAAATTAAACTACTTTTCTTATTATGTTATCTTTGCAAACTTTGGCCATCAATGCGGGCCAGAGATTAACACCGTTCTCTGGACCCATTGTGTATTTTAAAAACACTTAAACCGTGACATCGCACTAATATTGTGTTTGCATTCGATTACTGTCTTCACAGCCTGAACCCACAAACTCCTGTGTGAGGAGAAGCAGCTGTCTGGATTCCTGTGAGAAGAAGAAAAATAAAGAGAAGAGAAATACGGGAAGGACTCAAACTGAAAGGAAAATGACACTATATGAAATATAAGTACTTTTTAGAAGTGGGTTTTTTTCTGCCTCTGCAGTAGACCTTCTGTTAATAACCCTGCACTTAAACACTGTCCGATAAAAGCAGCATTTGGACCGGGTTGTACTGCCACGGGGCAGCGCACTGGTTAAAGTCTCCTCCCTGTTTCTGGTCCACTTCATTCCCTGAAACCAAACGGGCCAAAACCTGTGACACAAACAGAGCGACTCCTCCCCTTTTCTCATCGCCGCGCTGGCAGTCAGACCAAAAGCTTTACCAAAGCAGCCACGACCTTTCTGGTCTTTTGTGAATTTTAGGGCCCGTTGGCGAGAACCAGGGAGGCAGTTGAAGACTTTGTACGAGAAAACAAAGAGCAAGAGGAGCGAGTGACTGACAATAAGACTGGGAGTCCTCGTCTATGGCTGCGATCGCTGCAGGCCCACCTGTACATACAACCACCCTGTGGATCAGCACGGACTTACAACTGAGATGGTTGCTGTTGTTGTTATTGTTGTTGCTGTTGTTTCACAGAGCGGGGTCCCCCGACGGACAAGCAAATTTACCAACCTTTAACTACTGGCGACGTTGGATCCCAAAGGGATTCTCCTCGTCATGTCCAGTCGTGTTTATTGACCAAAACAAACTTCCGTGTGAACACAAATCAGTGTCAGTCATCGTTGGTGAGAAGCAATGTTGGTGGTGCTTTGATAGATGACCCAACTTGAATATTGACGTGTTGATGTTTTGGGTTTTAAAGTGTTGATCCTCGGTGGGAACTCAAAAGTTATTTAGAAATTTCAGTTATTTCTGAATGTACAAAATAAACCTACTCCTTTGCTTAAAGGCACCCATAAGGTACTTTTACCCTGCGTCCATTTTTTTCTATCCTTCGTCGCACATTCTACACCTCCAACCAAAGGTGAAGGTAGTATTGCCACCATAAGCTAAATATGTTGGTGAGTTGACTAGTAAAGACCAATTCTGTGTACTTATCTTCTCTCCAAAATGAGTCTCTGGCTCCTCAAGGAGCAAAAGACTGAAGTTTGTTAGTGTTGTATATCTACTTGTATATGATCACACCTGACTGTGTAAAATGTCGTAGTGAGAATACTGAACCTCACAGGCAGTCTATCTATATGTGTTTGTTTGTTTGTTTATTTATTTGAGTACCACGGCCCAAGGCCCCGATTGTGAAAATATTATTTATTATAATGTTAAAACAAACAGACGTGTTTTTGACGACGATGACGATGATGATGATGATGATGGCTTAGACAAGTGTATGTCGCTGAGAATTGAAGTGAGAACTCACTCGCCTTGTTTATAGAATGCAATGAATGAATGGATAAAGTTGTCATTGACGGAGAGAAATGTTATCATTATAAACTGTTAATGCAGATGTATTTAAATATGTTTTCTTGTAGTTTCTCTACTATTTATGTGTAAATTAAAAGTCTATACAACAACTAGCGTGTTGTTGTCATTATAATGCCTTTGCTGTTAACGGAAATTAAATAATTTTAGCGTGATGCAAATTATTCCTTATTCAACTTATAACTTATTATAAGTTGGACGGTAGAAATAAATAGTTACGCATTCCCCTAATAGGATTAGTAAAATAGTAAAAGATTTGGATACATTTTGTACAATTTAAATAAATAAAAGAGGGACTTTCCAGTAAAAGATGAAAAATGTAAAAATAACGATGGTTCAGATATTATGAAAACATATATTTAGATATGACTACAACAAATTCATAAATCAGTATGGCCTAATTAAGATAGATAGATCGATGGATATATATAGTATATATCTATCTTAATAGTCAATGCTGACAAGAGAAATAAACGTGATGTTATTATTCTCATAATATGTAAATATATGTAAAAAAAAAATTAAATAAATAAAAAAAGTCCTGTTTAATGCAGGAGGCCACTTTATGAAGTCCACGCACACAGTTAACGTAAAACGTCCTTTACTCGTGTTGCACGACGTCGGCCGCCTGTTTACGGCACCGCCTCTGTGTGAGCGGTGGTGGAGGAGCGAGAAGCTGCCAGCATGGCGTTCACTCTCTACTGTCTCCTCCAGACCGCCATCCTGTGCGTGAACGCGGTCGCCGTGTTACACGAGGAGAGGTTTCTCAGCAAGTGTAAGTAACCTGCTTCGTAACCTGCTTCGTTCCATCGCGCCGTTCAAAGAAATAACGACGCTCAGCCCGCTGAAAGCAGCCAGCTTGCTGCAACACCGCTAGAGAATCAGCTGCGCGTTGACTTCACTGAAAAGTATTGACTTATTGACGAGTTACTGTTCTAGTTGATTTATGTTTTTAACCATCTCCTGTTTTCTTTCTCCCTCCTCCGTACTTGCCACCCTCTTCCGCTCCTCCTCCCCCCCCCCCCCCCGTATGCAGTCGGGTTCGGGGTGGAGCAGGGCGTCGCGGGGTTCGGGGATGACCCCGGGGTCAAAGCCCAGGTCCTCACCCTCATCCGCTCGGTCCGGACTGTCATGAGAGGTTCGAATGAAATCCTTATCGATTAGCCGACATGCTGAGTGAATATTTAGTAGGGCCTGCAGTCCGTTATCCATCTTCAGGGATGGATTCCAGTGATTGTCTCACGTCCTGTTGTGTATATGTATGTATGTATGTATCATAATGGTATTCAAGCAGCAACGCTGTTGGTAAAATGCTAAAAACTTACTTTTTTTCTTTTCTTTTTTCCTCATAGTGCCGTTGATAATATTCAATTCGGCCTGCATCGTCCTGTTGTTACTGTTTGGTTGAAAGCGTCACACAAAGCGCTAAAAATGAAGCCTGAGAACAAGACCAAGTGCCAAGGAACCATCTCAAGCACACACACACGCACACACACACGGATACACAGAGACCCTTGCCAGTGTTCGGCAGGGGGCGAGATGTTCATGGGGATACGTGGAAAAAGAAAAAGTGAAACGTTAACCTGCAGATGTTTTCATCCAAAGAGAAGCACAAGGTGCTTGCAGCACAAAAAGGTTATTTGTCCTTGTTAATATTAGTATTTGAGAAGGATGGATTTGATGAGATGTTTTATCGTACTGTTAACGAGAAACATGTTTATGGAGTGTTGTCAGCTGTAGTGCCCGGATAATAGGTCAATATTTATTATGTACGGTTCTAATGCTATACATATTATAGCTGTTTTTATTTTGTAATTTGGAAATTTTGTTTTTAAGATGACTAAATGGAAAACGGCATTTTAACTAACCGGTGCATTTACAGGAGTGTTTTTTCATTAATGTGCACTCTCCCTGCCAAATAATGCAATAAAAAATACATTTGTATTTTAAGTCTTTTTGTGTATTATTGGGTGTCGTGAGATGTAAAGCGTTGAATTGAAGGTTGACAAAAATGCAGTTTCATATGATGGCAGAAAGGCTGTCAGTTTTGGTTAAGTTGAACATTTCAACTAAACGACTCACTGGTGTTCCCTCACCAACCCTTCCCTCTGCACCGAAGGGACATAATAGCTGGAGAAGAAGCAGTGGTGACTGATGGGTGCAAAAAATAAAAATTCAGGACCCACTTTTCCGATTGTCATTCTCACTTATCGATTCCTGTTCATGTGTAAAAATACCTTTTGATCATTTGTAATAATTTGGTTAAACAGCTCTAAACAATGCTCCTTGGTTCTGTACACGGTTGTCTTGAAATAAATCATGGGTTTAATGACATTTTTATATCATCTTTTAAAATAAACATAGTTAAAAAAATGATAGCGTACTTTACTCCATTAAGCAGAACCTTATGTGTGAGATACTGTATGTGAGATACTGTAACAGTAAATATTGACATATTTCACTCTCAACTCAATGTCTATTCTATCTATTCCTGCCCCATATAATAAATAATCTCCGTATGTTGTGAATTATCCAAATTTCCACACCCGCTAAGCTTCACAAACATTTTTATAAACATTTATGTAGTTTTGAATCTAAATACATGGGAGAGGAAGTATCAGGGATCTGCTGGAATTAGAAGCATATGTTTATCAGGGAGATTTGGACCATAAAGCCACTTTGATCTGTGATTAGTCGGAGTTTAGCTGTGGACTCACATTAAAATCTGTCAGCGATCACACAGGAAAATACATCTGCACACTGCAGGGCACCATGTGTTTACTTGGGTGTGTGGCTATGCAATGATACAGCAATAGAACAAGTTTTGGTACTTAAAAATTGACTGTTTTGTCTTTTTTGAGTTCATTGACTTTAATTCCATAAAGACATGTTCAACACAATAATTATTCTATTTTCTTTGTTAATAATTGAGTAGCTATAGGATAAATCATCTGACCAATATTCTAGTTCAAATGTTGAATACATATTGAAATCAAAGATAAATCAAAATGTTCAATGCACTTTAATGTTGCACACTAACACACAATTGTAGAAGGGAGATAAATAAGAGGCCCGTTATCAAATGTATGCAACAGTAAACTGCCTTCTCGTTGTAAGAAAATCACAGGTTTATTTCTAAAGATGTGTCCAATAAAAGCAACGAAAGGGTTGAAATATGAGATAAAAAACAAAACGTTTCGTTAAAGTATCCCAATGGGGATTTAAAAGATGGCACTGATTGGGATATTTGGTACATACATTAACAGTATGATGTTGGGTCCCCAGTGTTATGTTGATGAACTGCACAATATTTTTATGTAAACCAAAACTGAACTCAAAGCCAATTTTTGAAAATAGTGTTATTCCCGGGAGGTATGTAAAGAGGATTTTTTTATGTCGGGCATCATGCAGAGAAAAGGTTTTTTTTTTATCGTTTTGATAATACCCCCCCCCCCCCCCACACACACACACACATACACACATATTAAATCTCTCTGAATGCCCTAAAAGACCCACTAATACGATACATCTGTTGGCTGTTAGCGAGATGGGGCACATATGTTTTTGTATTATTATAATGAGTGATTAAGTGGTTAAGGATTACCTTCTTATCTGATTACAACATACAAATCGGAAAATAAAAAAGTAATATAAAAAAGAGAGTGTTATTGAAAAACAATCTGTAAAAGGAAAAACAAAGCATAAAAACGAGAAAAGAAGAAGAAAATGAAAGAGTTTAAGCCGTGGTGCTGTTTGAACTACAGAGCGGCACTGAGCTCACGGTGACCAGTGAGAGCAACACATTTTACACCAGCGAAGAAGAAGAAGAAGAAGAAGAAGAAGAAGAAGACGACGACGTCAGCCGGAAGTCGGAAGTGGGAGCGGCGGTTGCTAAAGGTTAGCTAACTCAGTTGTCTACTTTGACGACTTTCTGAACACCGTAAACTGTATTCAGTTATTGTGCTTTTCGTGCAACCAAAACCGAAACATTTTGTATCCGCAATGAACTCGCCTAGTTGGCAGAAATTAAACAATTGACGTTGCCAGCTAACGAGAAGCTTTTACCATAAATGCTGGTTTATGATGGAGGTGATGTCCACAACAAACACTTGTTTGTCCAGCAGCTGTTTCATAATATGTAACGTTAACTACTAGTATTCAAGAAATAGTTTCTATGGCCTTCTTTTCTGTGATTAGTTTGAAAGGTTCCAGGAACCACAAGCACAAAATGCAGGCGATGGAAAATGAGCAACAATGAGAAGTAACCCCTAAAAACCCAACAACCCTTTGCCTTCACAAGAGTAAACAATTAGTGTTTCTAAACACTTCACTGAAGCCACACGAGCTGTTTACTGCTTCTACCAAGACAGCATTCTGATTCTAAGGGACTTGTGATCTTTAATTGAACAAGACGTAATGTATTTGAACTATTAATCACATCAAGGTGTTCATTCGGGTTTAAGTCAAATAGAGTCAATCATACAGGCACACCAGAGGTCAGCGGCACAGAACTGTGGAGCTTTTTCTTTACGTTCCTGCCACACAAAACAACCCTCAGCTTGGCACACTCTTCACAGCGTTGCGTCCTGTTTTTAGTTCAGCTAAACACAACTAATGTTTAGCTGAACTAAACTAACGGTAGATACACACACACACGCGTGTGTGTTTAAGCTGGCCTGGTTGGGCAATAAGAGCATTAATTGTACCCTTGCATTGATAACTACATGACAGAAATCCAAGCATGTCTAAATAATAAGGGATCACACAACAAAATACAATCCCCAAAATCTGTAGTCGAGGCAGGAAGCCATCCATTCTGGGGACAAACTGGTCAATAATCCTCTCATTTTGGCCAATACAGGTTTGAACAAGGCAATAATCTGATTATTTCTCCCTCTACCTATGTGAATTATGATTATAAAAGTATAAGCTGGAAAATAATACATTATTAAGATAGAATAAGCTTTTTTAAACTGAGAGAAGCTCCATTTACAGGGACCTTCCTCATATTTAGACGATCCTAATCGGAGGCTGCCCTCCAAACAGCTCTTATCTAACGCTGTACTGTTGGTGCTATTAATCTTGTCAAATGAGTGGATTTCTATAAAGAGTGTAGCAAAGTAGTCGAAAGGTTATGGATCATGGATTTGTTTTTAAGAGTGTCAGAACAAATCCGGGTCCGAAGCCGCCATCACGCCCGCATCCGGCTGCATAGCAATGCATCTACAAAAACATTTTCTGCAACCTCAAATCTGTTCAACGTGTCCTCCCCTGCAGGTCTCAAACATGGCGGGCAGGCGCGCTCTGAAGGCTGTGCTCATCGACCTGAGTGGTACTCTACATGTGGAAGAAACGGCGGTGCCGGGGGCGCAGGACGCCCTGAATAGGTAGGAAACAGCGCCCACACCCGGGAAACGGGGGACCCAGACGAATTAAATAGAAATCAACAATGTTGCTGCTTATTTTGAAGCAAACTAATCTGATCAGAAATGTGTTATCCTAGTGTGCGATGACCCCTCCTCTCCACTAGGGTGCTGTATCCTGATTACATCAGGAGTTTTTTTCCCCTACATGTGTACTTATTACTCTCATCTCCCTTTTTCACTGCAGCCTTTAAGATTGTTTGCAATTATGTGGAATGTGCTTTTAATCCCAAGATGTTTGCCTTGTGTCTTGGTCAGGTTACGAGAGGCGTCCGTAGCTGTGAAGTTTGTAACCAACACAACAAAGGAAAGTAAGAAGCACTTGCTGGAACGATTACATCGCCTCAACTTTGACCTCCAGGTGATGCGTGTTTGATTTGGCGCAGATGCGTTTGCTATGATGTAGAAGGTTGAAAAATCACCAGAGGTTTAAAATTCCACATTTGAAGTGATTAATTTTCTGTTTTTAACTGTTGTTCCTCCAGGAAGAGGAGATCTTCACTTCACTGAGTGCAGCGAGGACTTTGTTAGAGCAGAAACGACACCGACCGCTGCTGCTGGTGGAGGACAGCGCCCTGCAAGACTTTACTGGTGCAAAGCTGTTTGTCTGCATTTGTGTGGAAAAAACGTTTCTGTCTGAGATTTTTCTTCAAATCTTTTTTTTTTTCTTCCAATTTATTTATTTTGAAACTGAGTATTATTTTGAAGGCCAAACTTGTTAAAACACTGAATATCTAATGGGGCAACATACAATACAATACGTTTTTCTTTCATAAACTATAAAGCCTTTCTTGTTTTTAACTTGACTGGCTTTTTAAGGTTTTATTTAATGTCACCTAAACCTGGACGGTGAATATATTCAACCTCTAGCGTAGTCGTCAGCTTGTTTTAAGTCACAAACTGCTGTTGTAGCTGATCTTGTCCTCTTTCCCACTGATATCAATATTAAATAATTATGACAGCTGCATAAATGATTTGCCTCACTGAATAATCTGTGTGTGTCAGCACAGTTAACTGATAACTGTTTTCAAAAATGGAAAAGAATGCCCCAAATTACAACAGCTCATATTATGTCAAACACCTAAAAAACAAAATTTTGGAAATTGCCTGCTAAATAGAAATGTATCACGATTAATACTGTTTTTTTGTGATTGCTACTGTGTGCACGTTTTTCCATTTCTAGGTATTGAAACCTCGGAGCCAAACGCTGTCGTCATTGGACTCGCTCCAGAACAATTCAACTATCAAACACTCAACAAGGCTTTCAGGTGTCAAACCTATTCATAAAAAAACTTGAATTATCTTATTGACCAGTGGAAATAGTCACGGATGGAACGCCGCCTCTGGTTGTACCAGAGTTGGGAACTAAAGAAGGCGACCTACACCCTTTTTTTCATCAGCACACTAAATCCTGTTCATGTAATCATGTATATTTCTGCCCAGACTGGTTTTAGATGGCGCTCCTCTCATCGCCATCCATAAGGCGCGGTACTACAAGCGTAGGGATGGTTTGGCCCTCGGTCCCGGGCCCTTTGTGGCGGCCCTTGAGTACGCAACAGACCGTAACGCTATTGTGGTGGGAAAGCCAGAAAAGTCTTTTTTTGCTGAGGTGAGAACATTTTTATTTTTTACTTGCGTTAAAAGATAATAATCTATAATTGTTAATGTGCTAAAATGTTTTTGACCAACTCTGACTCATTTTTGTGTATCTTTTTTTTTTTCCTGGTTTCCTCTGAATTTAATTCATGGTTCTTGATCGTTTCCCTCAAACAGGCTCTGTCTAATTTGGGCTGCAACCCCAATGAAGCCGTCATGATAGGCGATGTAAGTATATTGTCAATTGTGATTCATTAATAGCTGATTAATTAAGTGGTACATTTATTTAATTTTGTGGGAAGACTTGCGTGCTTATTTCTATACACAAGGGAATCAAACCTGAGCCCTGTCACCTAAAATAGAAATGTATTTTGAAATTTGATTTTTTTTTTTGAGTCAGTGAACACAAGTGAAGTAAGAAGCATACATTAATAAGTTTCCCTTCCTGTTTTTTTACCTCAGGATGCCAGGGATGATGTGGGCGGCGCCCAGAACGCAGGAATGTTGGGAATTCTGGTCAGAACTGGTAAGAATAAAACGTCCTTGTTTTTTTTCTCCTCCCTTTTTTGGTTTCACTTATCCTTCCAGTTCCAACCTCCCTCTCCCTAACCAAACAGTCGCACGTTTTCATACAGCACAATTAATAAGTATTCTACAATTCTAGTACTTAAGAAGGCAACTTTAACCTGAACATATGGAAATGAATAAACAAATGCATACACTTCTCTTTATAAACTATAGGATGTCTTTCTTTTTCATACCTAACTTTCTACGACATACTAAGCAAACGTTTTCATGGTTTTTTTACATTTAGTGGCAATTTTTTAAATCAGATACTCTACTTTGACTTAATTTTTTTAACATGCTATCCCAGAATTATTTTAGTATAACTTCATGCAGAGTTTAACCCTGGCCATAACTCTAACCTCTAATAGAGCATTGCATACGTTTTCATGGATGGCTAAATTGTGCGTCTTGCGAATTGTGGGGCTGAATCTACCTTCCTTTGTTTCCGATGATAAAAGGATGCATTGAAGCACCTTTCCTTAACATTTAGATTTGAAGAGCTCATATCATGGCGGCAGATTCTCTCTCCTCAAAACTTGAGATATTTGAACCCTGTATAAATATGTCACTCCCGCTGCTGTTAGTGGTTTTCCTGTGACTGATGGTCCTAATTGTTAGATTTTTATTTTGTCAACATAATACAGTGGGGGGGGTTTCTGACATCATGCCATTTTTCAACATTCACCATTGCAGATTTGTGATTTTTTTATGTGACCTTTTTGACATACTATCCTGACTTTTTAATAAAAGATGTCAACCTACTTTTGTGAGTTATTTTTTACTTTCTGGTACGACATTGATCTCACGATTTATTTTGTGTGCTATCTACACTATGTACTTTTTTTTTTAACATTTAATTTTATTTGAACATACTTTACTCAAACAAATTGTAGGACGATTGAATGAATTCCAGGTGCTTTATTGCTGCTGAACCTGTGATCCTCAAACATCTTTAAAACGTTATGTTACACATTTCATTGACAGGTAAATACAGGGAAGGAGATGAGAGAAAAATCCACCCTTCTCCCCACCTGACATGTGAGAGTTTCCCAGAAGCTGTGGAACACATCCTGAAGAACATGCTATAAGATACTTACCAAAAAAACTCCAGTTTAATTTTTCAAATAAAAAAAATATTTTGGGAGCAACGGTATTTCCTTCTCTTTCTGATATCAAATATTCCACCCAAAGTTTTATCATGAGGACAAAGAGTGCATACCATTGTTAAACCTACCATAGCAATGATTAAAAAAAAAATGTATGTGTGAGAGCTTAAAATGTGTTATTTATCCAATAAAGAGCACAATATTACCCTGGCGCTATTTGTGTGCTCAACAAAACTGTCAGAAGCCTTTTTTTCTTCATCACAATTGTCCTGTGCGTCAGACGGACTCGTACTCGCTCTCCCAGGCTGTGTATCGGTCCAGCAGGTTCCTGGCCGAGGGTTTGGAATGCCTGATGACTTCCAGGAAGTCGGCTGTTGTCACGGCTTCCAGCTGAATGGTGGACATTTCAGTGTCTCCTGTGAAGGATAATCCAAGTCAAGCTACACTGTGCAGATAAGGGACACTTTCTGTGCCTGTTTAAGACGTCTGCGATCCGACCAAACGTCTGAACGCATGCCAACATCACACATGTGACAGCAGGCTTCTCAATTAGATGTGACTCAATTGACGTGCGTGTGTCTGAAAATATGGAAGCAGCAGCTCGGGAGTGGAAAAATAAGTCCATGGTTATTGTGAATGAACACCCAGCTTTCATCTAAACACGTTGAGCTACGCGTGTACAACGTTGGTGTTTCACTCACAGAATGAAAGTGCTGTAGCACAATAAATGTTACATACATTTCACGTACGTCACACACACACAGATTTATTCTATGAACTGAGGTGTTTTAATGAAGCGTTTGTTACAGATTGCCAAAATACACAAACATTTACTCTAACCAAAGTACACAGTGAATGTACTGTGTGTTAGTTGGCTGTATTATTTGACACACACACATATATATATAAATAAATGTGTTTGTGTGCATGTATTTTCCTACCGTCCTTATGAGACTCCAGAGCGTCAAAGATCTTGCGGACTGGTCTCATGGCGGCCTCCTTGCACACCAGTCTCATATCAGAACCAGAGTAACCCTCCATCTCCTGCAACACACACACACACACAGTCAGGTAGACTTAGCTGAGAGGCACGGTGTTGATTGTATTGTTAATTCTCTCCTCTGTCAGTAACAACCCAATAAGTAATATTTCAGCAGTAACAGACCTTCGCCAGAGCGAAATAGTCCAGCTCAGTTCGTAGCTCCACCCGTCCCGTGGAGCTGAGAGGAGGCAGCCAATGAGACATCATGGCCTGGCGAGCTGGCAAGGAGGGAAGACTTACTAGAATCCTCTTTTCTAACCTCCTCAGCATGGCATGGTCCAGTTCCCTGAGAGAAGAGCAGACGCTGTTTATTCCTCCTTCACTTTTAGTCCAAATATCCCTTTTGTTCAACTTGTTTCCTTGTGTTATTTTGGTTAAAAAAAAGACCCAATATTACATTATATTTGTGAATTGTCTCAGTAAGTTGAGAAAAAGATATAAAGCATAAAGGAGAATAAAATGTTACGTTTGTCTGTATGCCATTCTCACTGGCAGCACAGAAAAAAGATTTGTCACCATTATCGGTGAAAAAGATGTTAAGAATACTGACGCCCATTGACGTTTGTCCATGTGTGTGCGTTTATGTTGATGTGCTACCAAGGCAGGTTGGAGGCAGCGAGCACAAACACGAGGTCTTCCGATCTGGCCAGTCCGTCCATCTGAACCAGCAGCTCGGTCTTCATCCTGCGACTTCCCTCATGCTCCCCTCTGAGAACATACACGAGCCTGCTGTTATTTCATTAAGGTTAGAATCACCACCACAGCAGTCATTTTGTGCTTCTCATTGTGCCATGAGTACATTTTAACAATCAACCAACCCTCTCAGTCTTTGCAGTGTTCTGCATATGGTTTGCCTTTAAAGAGCTAAATAATTGAAATGATCCTTCATAATAATGAGCCATTATTATGAAGGATTAACAATTATTTAGCTTGGATAATAATTATTAGTTGTGATAATTATACATGACTAACAACTATTTTAGTGTAGTCTGACTAACCAGGTTCATTTTTATGAATCACACAGTGATCGATCGGTGATCCATCAGACCTTTATTTTGGCTGAAATTGTTTATATAGATAATACAAATCAACTATATTTCCTTCATTGTATATCCTCTCCAAGTGTCTCATGCACAAATGACACGTCTCACAGCGAGTTAAAGGTCTTGCTCAAGGACCTTTTAGAAGAGACGGTGCACCAGGTGAAGGAATATGCAAGATTTTGTATCGCAAGGAGAGAACTCTGAGCCTTTAGAACTTGGGGAAAAAACAGTTACGGGACTTTGTTGTTTCGCTCACCCCATGTTGTTTCCTCTCTGGCTCATCACTGACTCCAGCTCGTCCAGGAAGATGGTGGATGGGGCGTGGTACCTGGCCAGCTCAAACAGAACCTGCCGACGTATGGACACATACAATTACCAAAATACAAAAAGAACTGTGACCTGGAAACCGTTTTTCTTCTTCTTAATTGTTGCAGTCATCAGTGCGTGTGGAAGAACAACCTACCCTGACCAGTTTCTCAGAATCTCCTCTCCACTTGCTGACGATGCTGGAGGCTGAAATGTTGAAGAAGGTCGTCTTACACTCCGTAGCCACGGCCTTGGCCAACAGCGTCTTACCTGTACCTGTGTGCACATGGTCACATGGTCAAAGGAAGAACATGTCGGCGGGAAGAATTCCAAATAGTAGCACTTTTGGACCAGAAGTTATTTAACTGATGAATAGCAATCAGTAAAACCTGCAGGTCTCACCTGGGGGGCCATAAAGCAGCAGGCCTTTCCACGGAGACAGGATGCCTGTAAACAGTTGGGGGTACTGCAATGACAGAGGGATGGAATATGAAAACTAAAGTACAGACCAACATTTAGAAAGTAGCACAATTCGATATGAAAATATGTTACAGCTGCATACGTTTCTATTTCGTACACACCTGTACGACGCTGCGCTGTGTGCAAAGGAAGCGGACTATCTTGATTTATAGCAGAGTCGGTGCTGCAAATACCACATGCTACAAATGAACCCGAATTTTATGTGGCAAACGAGTCCGAGTGCAATCACCAAACTGACCTTATACCACAGAGAATGAATAATAATAATAATAATAATAGACACAGAAGTTGGGGATTGTGGGGAAGGCGGATGTGCGGTGGTGTTCAATAAAACAGTCCAGCAGAACAGGACAGACGCATCAGTCCTCATCTCCGTCTGTAAATGTCAAGAGGATGCAGACAACCTGATTTGTTGTCATCATATCCGCGAGAGAGAGGTCTGGGTAACGATGACAGAAGCGTGTGCATGTATTTTCCCCGTGTGTGTAATATGTTTTATTTGTATTGGCAATTTCTATATGAAGTGGCAAAGTTGTACAAATGTGTTTTTGTTTATACATGGCAGAATTTGTGCGTGTGTGTTTGTTTTCCCTGCCTATCTATCCATCTATGTATGTGTGTGTGTTACCATATTATCCCAGATATAGATTTAACGTCACCCTAACAGACTGGCCTGACCCCACTACCCTCCTCCTCATAAAGGAGATGTATTCAGAATCGAAGACGGGCGACCGCAGCTGAAATACCAGCATGCCCGGCCAGCGGCTGCACCTTAATGGGATAGACGACGGCCTCCTTGACTAATCGCTTCGCGTCCTCCAGGCCGATGATGTCCTCCCATCGCACGTTGGGGCTGTGCAAATAGATGTCCTATAGGGGTGATTACACACACACACACACACACACACACACACACACACACACACACACACTCGATTAGGCTTGTAAAAATGTGTATCCTTTAGCCTGAAACATCAGGGAATAGTCAGAAACAAGGCCTCCACTAATACAGATCATCCATTCACTCACTACAAAGCTCTCAGGTGCTCCCTGTTGGACATAATTGGTATCACTTAAAGGATATCTTTATAAATATGTGCCTTGAGTTGGGATAAAATCAGCCTATCCATGTTTGGAGTATGTATGTTTCTGGTTTGTCAGCACTTGGGTGTGGGTGTGGGTGTGGGTGTGTGTGTGTGTGTGCGTGTGCGTGTACAGTAGTACCCTGCTGATGATCGTGGCCAGTTCCCTCATGTCACCGCTCATTCCAGAAAAGCCACTGAGGGGTTTCAGCAGCCGTTCCTGCAACAAATCATAAAATCATTGTTATTGGGCGTAGTGTGTTTCTATTAGTAGTTTCACTGTTGTCTGATTCGATTGTTATCATTGATTGTTTTCTTATGTAGCGGATGTAATATAAAAGGTAATTAATGTTAAGATAAATTCATGTTTTTGCATTTTGAACAGAATATAATTACCATGTGGTCCATGGCAGCTCCTTTGCCGTCAATAACATGGCCCTGAGACAGGCAGTAAAAGATGTTGACTCAGAAGAAAACAGTGCGATAAAAACAACATGAAAGTGGTGGTTTAGTTTTAATTTTTTTTATGAAAGCGTATTTTCATATTTATCAGTTTGTGTGTGCTTTGTACATGCAACTCTTACATTGCGTTAAATGGCTATTCTAATGAGGAACTTTTTTTTTGTGTAATGTGGCGTAGTCACTAATGTTTGGGTTTTTTCATGAATTAAAGACTGAACTCAATTGAAAGAAAGAAGAAAGAAAGAAAAATAATCCTTTATATCACAGACGTGAGGGAATATTCATTTGGATGATGGGATTTGCTGTTCAACCATATTACAACTGAATGAAGGTTGTTAATGCCTAAAATCTAAATAAATGAATGAATGATCCCTTCATCTGTATATAAGAATGAATAAGAACAAACTGTACCTTTCTGTTGATGGCTGCTTCACCGGCTGGTCCAGTTCTGATGGAAGAAATGTTGGGACCAAACTCTGACGACTCTGGAGGAACAGAGGAGACATTCTCCTGGAAGCCCAATCATCAGCATGTCACAATAACCCCATTTCTATTTGAACATTCTGATTGAGAGTGTTAAATGTACATTTGTATAAGAACAGGCAGCCGTCCTCTTGGCTCCAATTCCAGACTGTGGGCTAAGGGACGGGTTTATTTTGGGAAGAGGCTTCCCAGCTGAACAGGGACTCCTGCGGGACAAAGACACAAACAGTTCATCAAGTTGGCCTCTGCCAGACCGGCTCTATCAACCCCACCACAGCTTATTCAAAGCCGTTAATCAGAATAATACCTCTTTAAAACTAAAATGTCAGTGGTGTATTTGACTTATCTAGTTTATATCTTTAGCATGTATGGACAGTGAATAACTATTAAGTCCTGAACAGCAAATAAATAGAAAGGTTGGAGGAGGGACTCACCGCTTTACTCCACCACTCCTTGCTGTTTTTTTTTCACCTTGAGGTAAAGAAAAGATATTTATTGACTATAATTGAGATGTAAGTGATGCTTCCTTATTATTCTGAATTGAGCAGAAATGTTGTTGCACTGAGCTCCGTGGTGCTCGGCGCTGTAGTGAAGGTTGTCTACCTGGTTCCGCTGTTCTTCTGATAAGTTTGGGATATTTTTGAAACTTTACGTAGTGATAACTCTCGTAGTCCATCAGCACCATCTCCAGGTCGATGTTATCACAGACCTCGAACCTCCTCACACCTCCAAGGGTCTCCTGGTCCAAGGCCACTGCTGTAGACACGTAGCTGGTGAATGGGCACACACATGCAGAAAAAGTTACAAAAAAAAGTCAAGGTCAATTGTCTGTATAGGCAAACGCGCACAGTATGTTCTTCTTTGGGCTTTGAACAATGGACCAACTTGAAACTGGCACCGCCCTTTATTCTTCTGTTAGAATAAAGATCAAGTGAGGTTTTACAATCTGCAACATCTCATCAACAGCAGTTGCTCAAAAATACCTTTGTGTGAAACAACAAGGTCCTTGTACCCAAACAACAATCTGCCGTGGCTCTTAGATCACCAGCTAAAAGCTAAAAGCTGCGTGTTTCAATTAACCGCATGTGTTCCAGTACACAACGTCGTACTGACCCTTGCCCCAGCAGGTGGTGGTAGATGAGGATGAGGAGACTCTTCCTCCTCATCTCAGTCTTCAGCTCATCCTGTTGGACAGTAACACATACACACATAACACACCACCGCTGCACTGACGTTAATAGCATTAGTTTAAATCGTGTTTCAATAAATGTGCGGTACTCTGTGTGGATTTTGATTGGAGGTGAAAAGTGACTATTTTGATTTACCACAGTAAGAAAATGTTCCTTTTTATACTAACCTATAGTTAAATTGGCTCCACTCACTTACAATGCATGTTGCATATTAATGCCCAGTAAATATATTGGAAGTACCCTTAAGCGTAATTGTCCCCCTCCTGGAGCTTCACATGTGTGGAGAGCTCAGGATGACCGAAGGAGAAACGAAGGTTTTCAGTAGAGGGCGACAAATTGCCAAAAAACGACAACGACCTGACAGCGTAACTAGGCAACGCGTGGACGCCGATTCCGTGTGCCAGTGAATGGGGGCAAACCCAGCTAGCATAATTAGCTCGGGAGCTAGCCGAACTGCTTTTTCTCTAACGCCAGCAATAGATTAGCTCATTGTGACAGCTACGTTGTTGTTTGCTGAACAACGTGGGAATGATACGTTGACTTGGCCCCCGAATGCACGATGCCATCCGTGAACAGTCGTGTTAGGACAGTTCATTCGACCACATAGCTGACGATAAAATGGCCTTCTACGAGCAACAGTTGTCCGTGAAACAACCCCCCCCCCTCGTTCACTCACTGCTTCCCGGGCTTGGTGGGCGACTTTCATGGACTGGAACGAAAGCTCCATCGTGAACGGGAAAGCTCGGCGAGGTGTCGTCGTCTGTGCGACGGTTTTCTGACTTTATTCTGCTTCGCCGTGTGTCCGCGTCGTGTTTTGGCCCCTCGGGGCCACCGTCTCTGCTGTCAGGCTGTAGCGTTATATACAAACGCTCCAGAGACAAGTAGCGCAAAAACTACACCGCTAACAAAGAAATGAGCTTTCATTTATTAGCAAAAGAATGTGCTAAGAAAATGAAATGTCAAAAAATGTAATTACATTCATAATATTAAATATTCCAAACGTTATTAATATATATATATATATATATATATATATATATATATATATATATATATATATATATATGAGCACAAAGTATATTGCAATTGTTCTTTTCAAGCAAATATCAAAGCTTTCCAAGCAGTAGGTTACTTAGAGGAATCCAAAATGAATGGAATGACATTTTGAGAAAATATATTTCAGGCGTCATATGGTAAAATGTGGTCTAAGATTTCTACAAGAAAATATTAAGTGATTTGATACTGAAAGTTCCCACTAGAGGGCAGACAAGCTCTATGCTGTGCGTACATCAAAGCTACTGCACATATAAACAACCCGGTGATTTCATGTTTCCTTTATCTAATCCTAGAGGACACCTACGCGATTTAAGCATGATAATGTGTGTGCGCGTGTTTATTTAGCAAATCACAGACTGGATTTCTGCTTGAGTACCTGAGTCATGGATTATTTGTATCCACTCTGTAATAGCGTCTACTTGCATCACTCTCGGTTTATATTTGTGTGTGTTCACCCCTGAAAGACATCTGTTAGCACAACCTGAATATGCGGTGGGAGGCCGTCGGCCTGGAAGACCCCGAGCGATAAGGCAAAGAGGCCTTCATCCATCCCATTAAGGTCCGATTGCAGGCCGGTCATGCTGGTATTTCAGCACCGGCCGCCCAGTTTCGATTCTGAATACATCTCCTTTGATGGGCTTAAAGAGAAGGAGGGCGGCAGGGTCAGACCAGTCCGTTAGACTGACATTAAATCTATATCCAATATGGTATCACACACAGATTAATAGAAAGATGCAAAGGTGGATGTATAGCATAAACTCACAAGCTACAAGCAGCGTGCACGTGCGACACGTGCACATTCACGATGCCGCACACAAAAGCAGACCCAGGCTAGCATGCATGCACGCACGACACACGCGCACACGCACGCACACACACACACACGCGCGCACGCACACACGCTTCTATCAACATCACCTTGATCCCCCTCATGGATATGATAACAAATCAAGTTGTCTGCATCCTCTTGACATTTACGGACGGAGATGAGGACTGATGTGTCCGTCCTTTATTCTGCGCGCCTGTTTTATTGAACCACGGTCTCTTCATTCAGCATCCCTCCAACTACAAACGGCGCCCTCACCTCTTCTCTTCTCCCTATCAACTCTCTGAGGTCAGTTATGTTATTTCACTCCGCTTGTGTTTACCACCCGACATTGCCCCTGATGTTTATTTTGGGAAAAATGCACCGGTGATGGATAAATCAGCTAAGTTCCCTGAGATTGATTTTGATTTCATAAGTAACAAACCAGGCATGTGTCATTTTCCTTCAAAGACATTTATTTCCTCTGGCACGGTCAGTTTATATTATCAATCTAAATTTCCAGTCAATTGCACAACCGCTCATCAACATTTAAGGTACATCAATCATTTTTCTTTGTTTTGGTATCCATCCATGAGACTACGCCGCTACTGATGCTCCTGTATAACAATCAAACACCACCACTCTGGGTAGTTGGACTCACACCACAACCCTACATGGACCACGGTGGTTTCAGGCGGATTTTAAGACAGTTTCATCTTAAAATGTCCCTATTGGGATAGTGCAAAGATCCAGACAATGAAAGAAGGCACAGGAAAATAAAACCAAGCCGCCTTACTCGGTCACAATGAAAATCGATCAAAATGATTGTGCCAAGCTCATACAACAGTGAAATATGTCACTTTTTTACAGATTAGAGCCAATGAATCAAATGAATTAATTAATTGTTTAAAGTTGTAACACAGCAGGGGCCTTAAGTACAGAGCAGACGTGTTTCAAATAGGAAATCCTTGTGTGTTGTGAATCTTCTGCTAACCGTCATTGGACACAATGGACGACCCTTGATGTTTGAGGAAGGGAAGGATGTGAGGATGGAAATCTGTTACTGCACAGAGATGTAGTCAAGCGCACGTCACGGCAGAGTGTCTTTAATCCTTAGAACACTCGGAGCTTGCGTGAACCTGACTGTGACTCATACTGATTGAACCATAAAATGGGACATTAAACATTAAACATTCAGGCCATTTTCTCCACCGTATCCATCTGGATTTCAACATTAAAAAAAAATAGTACAAACAGATTATTGACTACAGAAATGTTGGTAGTTGAGCGTTTTGGACTTCAAGAGCAATTCCGTTATTTGAAGATGTTGTTTTCTTGTGATTGCCTTTATTTACTGAGAATCCAATGCATATATGAAATAGGAATATACTAACAAAATAGTGTGCTTTGCATTAAATATTCTTTGTACAGCTAGATTAAGAATTACATGTTTGTCCACAATCGTATACGTTTGTCCAACCTTTTTTTAAATGACCGCTTATGGATTTTACAATATATAATTTCTTTAAATTGATTTGTTGCTTAAAAGCATGGGTGCCAATATTGTCTAATTAATTCCAGAATGAGAATCTCAGATTTGGCAAATTACTTTTGGGGTTAAACGAGGGGAAAAACATTAATATACTAATTTACTGGTGCTAATTTGGAATAAAGTCAACAATACCCCGATAAAAATATGAAATCTCCAATGACCCAAACTAGATTTCCCCCCCATATTAGATGTTTGTGTCCAGGGGTATAATTGTGTGATTACAAGGCAAACCTGTAGTGTAATTGTCCTTATAAAGTCCAAGCCTCAGAAAACACCTGCCTCTGTAAGTAGCGTACCAGCCTCAAGCAGCATACCTTTGACATAGACACGTACGGTGTAGAACATTGTGAGGAAGTCCTGCGTGCTGAACAAGGTGTCCGCCAGAGCAAAGCCTAGCGTGGAGGGGATGAAACCTCTGCCGTACTCCACCATCCACGTCCCGGTGCTCCACTGGACCGACGTGGCCTCGCCTACGCTGTGTACGATGGTGTCACCTGTGGGGAAACACATTTGGAAGCATCAGAAGGACAATAAACCATCGAGATAGGGCAAGTTCACACCATTCAGTTGTAGATTAAAACGTAAAAAAAAAAAAAGATATTACCTGGGTAGTACATTTCACTCTTTGTCGTCCCCTCCTTCCACTGTCTGAAGGTGCCGGTTATGATGGTGTCAGAAATCTCGGCCCAGTAACGACCTGACCCATAAGATTGCAGACATGGAGTGTAACTTCTATTATTACCTATACTGGTTAATCTGTGTTCCCCTATCTATCTATATATTTATTGACACCCTTTTAAATATATTTGTTCAGTACCACCAGAACAACGTTCGACTCAATTAACAACCACAGTGGGACTTGCAGTGGGACAGCCCCGTCCTCTCCTCACCAGAGTGTCCTCCTGTGTCCACCGCGGTGCCGAACAGCAGCAGGTACTCTGTGAGCGAGGCGTGCAGGAGACACATGGAGCCCATCCATCCACCGGCGTTCACAAACACCCACTGCAGGTCCTCATCTGGCAGGATGTGGCCAGGATACCTAGATGGGTTGGACTTAATCAGCTGTGTTTGTCTTTTTCATTCATTTTACGTGATAAACGTGTACATGTATGCACACGTTTCATGCAACAATGCAACGTTTACCTCTTCCTGAGCTCCACCACCACTTTGGCGAAGGCCTGTTCATGGTCCTGACCTGAATAACGACATGTACAGTATGGGAGGCAGTGAAGGGGGGCTACTTGGGGCACTTACACCACCGCAGGTTTAGTGTCGACTGCACATTTTTCCTCGAACCGGAGGTTGGTATCGATGTGATTTAGTTTCTCTTCGGTACTTAACTCGCTCACCTGCGTACTGTTTGGCCAATTTAGCGACGTCTTCTTTATTGAAAACGTACTGCTTGGTGGCCATCCACTCTCGCAACAGCAGCACGGCCAGGACGGTGAGTGCGCTGAACAGGAACAATTTTAAACAAGTTCGGACGACAGACATGGCTGAAAGGAGACGGACGGAGACACCGCAGAGGGATTCGCCTACACGTGCGCACGGAGGTAGACAGGTTGATCCATACACGCTACGGGGGTGGGTGAGGGGGGGGAGGCGGAGCCTAAGCTGCTTCTTCCTGGTGAGGTGTGAATGGCAGGCGCTGCCCAGCCAATCAGAGGACGAGACAGTCGTGTGGGCAGTGGCCAATTTTGGGTTGCCAGCACGTTGTAAAACCCTCTTAAGGAGTTTTTTTTATTTGTTCTCTATCAGTTTTGTTTCATACCAAAAAAAGGGCCATCAGATGTGTTTTTTGATAGCTTGTATTGGTGTGAACATTTATCGGCCAGGATTTTTATTATTGGTTCATCTTTGCCCTTTCCCTTCAGACTTTTAGAGATTTTTCATATGACATTGATTTGTTCCAAACAGCACGTTCCTTTCACTCGTCAAAAGAACAGGAAGTGAGCCGAAGAGTTTCACGTTGGTACCTAAACTATCGACTGTCAAACAAAGTCCAGAAGGAGTTGATGGTTTATGGATTTAACACCGGAGAGACGACAAATCTCAAACAGCACCGACCGATATGAGCGTCAATGAGGAAGTCAGTTTTGATGCAAAAGGTAACACGAATTCGTTCAGGACATCGGATCCCGCTGATTTTGTAACTTTGCAGATCATTTATTTCACCATTCAGAATTGGTTGCTTTACTTTGCTATTGCTCGCTGAACCCACATCTCTAACCCCTTGTTTTACAAGTAAGTAGGATATATTATCAAACTTTTCCTGGATGCATCACACTACAGATCAAACACACACACACACACACACACACACACACACACACACACACACACACACACACACACACACACACAAACAGCAAAAGGTTCTCAAACATCCATGTATGTTGCTGCTAGAGCAGCCTATTCGTTAGAGATGCTTCCTGCATTGCCTGCATGCTTCTGGCTGTGCACACAGTCAGCTGTGTGGTCTCGTGACTCCAGTTCCTGCCGCTTTTCCTACTGCAAGTTGCACCAACAGTCATCTAAATAATACGCACACCTTTGGGCCTGTATTAGTATTAAATGTGTATTATTGTGTAAAACCAAAACACACATTTTCTTGGACAGAATACAGAATGAATTATTAACTATTCAAATAAATAAGCAATTCATTGATACATACAATAATTATTCTTCTCAGCATTCAACATGGAACATAAGTCATTTCCTGTACTACACAAAGGCTAAAGAGGACACAATGAGCTTGCAGTGATTCATTGATCAGGTTGATTTCAGATGAATACATCCGACTGTTGGTCCTGTTCTTTGGCTCTCAAATAGCCTGCTCTCTCTCTCTCTCTCTCTCTCTCTCTCTTGTGTTTTTGTGTGACTATCCTTGTGGCACGTGTCTCCCTCAGAGCACCAACACCTGCGTTACAACCCTCTGCGTGACACATGGGTCCTTGTGTCGGCCCACCGGATGAAGAGACCCTGGGCCGGTCAGGTAGAGAAGCCTCCTGAGGAACATGTACCCAGACACGACCCACACAACCCGCTCTGTCCTGGGAACACGCGTGCGAACGGAGAGGTAAGACCAGGGGAATACCTTTTGTTCAATTTATCATCCAATAATGTACAAGGATATCAGCAAGCAGTGGGCTCAAACTCCTGATCTCATGTCTGCAGTCAACGTGTTGCAGTTAGTCATTGGAGACATGATTGATTTTGTTATAAAACAGTCCTGGAAAGGTCTAAATTATCAATAGTAGGCCATTATTGACGCGTATCTGGACTCCTTCAACTACAAAGTATACGCTAGTTATGAATTCAATTTGCTTTAGACAACCAAATATGTTTATATATAGATGGTTTTGTGTCTATTTCTCTACAGATAAATCCAGATTATGACAGCACTTTTCTTTTTGAAAATGACTTCCCTGCTCTTCAGCCAGATGCCCCAGATCCTGGTGAGGAGTGTTAATAATGCTGTAAAAACCCTACATCAAGTAATTGTATTACACAATATAACATTTGCCAACACTTTTTTGTATGTTTCTATTTATGTAGTTATTTGCTGTTAAATGAAAGAATAATCAAATAGAATACTTTTTATATATATACTTTTTTTTTCTTTTCTTAGATTATTATTTCATGACCAAAAATCAGGTTCAATAAGAGGCCTTATTGGGTGCAGGTGTACTTTACATGAGAATGTGTATTCATTTTTTAAAGTAGAATATAACCCGCCATGTTAAAACAACTTCCGTTGACTTGAGTATGTGTTCTTACATTTCTTCTTCAGGGTCAGGTCAACATCCATTGTTCCAGTCGAGAGCTGCCAGGGGCGTCTGGTAAGAACGAAGCGTCTTGAATAATCAATTGACAATACTGATGGAATGTAGTGTTGAATAAAACCTTTTTTCTGAAAATGACAAAATGTATATCTAGTATCGCGCCTGTACCTTTATCAATATACTACTGTGTTACAATGACATAAATATCCATCCATCGTCAAACCGCTTATCCTGCACACAGGGTCGCGGGGAATGACATAAATATGAAACTCATAAATAATCCAAATTAGCGTGTGGTTAGAATTTAGTCAAGGATGCATCTTAATCAATGTTCCTTTTGTAGAAATCACGATACATTCAAATTTCTGACTACTTAAATCAGGACTGATGAGTGCAATCAAAGCAGACACGCTGGGGCAACGCTCATGCGTTGTCGTGATTACCATCAGCATAATCAGCTATTAGCGGAAGGTAATCTTGTTAATCAACACACTGCATGCCCCTTGTTTTCAGGGCATCTTGAACCATGCAAAAACAAAATTACAAATCCTCAACACATAAATTAAGATGCGTGTAATCCTTTGTGGCACCACCTGGTGGGGATGTTCTCTCACTCACAACATGACAACCTAGATGCTCCAACGTTGTGCGTGATAACATGGATTTCCATCCAGTGATGTTTTCCATTTTCCACCGATATTTTCAGAAGGAAATAGGAGTTTTTTTTAGAGTCTCAAAGGGCTGTATTCATTCGGAATAAACTGCAATCCGTCATGAAATAGTTTGAACCAGCTTTCAGGCCATCTGCATTGACTGGTTGATTTATTCCCTGTCAAAGTCGATGGTGGTCCCGGCCGCCTAACGGATGGCTCGCACTGCGCCATAGATCAGTACGGCTTCCAACGCTTATGCAACCCTTTCACCTTCTATGTCACATCCAAGACAGGTGGTCTTCAGTCTGTAGGTCATTTTCTGTATAGTCAATTTGCATTTTCAGGATGGATTTTTGTTATCTGGCCTGACAGCAGAGGTAGACAACAATCGCTGAATAATAGACTAAAACAAAACACCGCATTGCATGCGCTGCTGGAAAACCAAAGCTGGTGTTAAAGTCCCATGCGTTGGCAATATGTGTGAGGCGGTCGGTTATTACTTGCCACATGCACTCACGTAGTAATGGGTCGGAGAAACGGCACTGATTGTTGTGTTGCTCAGACTTTTTCATGATTGATTCTCGCATTTCAGGGTATTTTTCAACCTCACAGACTCAGTCTGTGTGGATTTGTGTTCTTTTTTTGTTCTTTTTTCTGGAGCAGTGGCTGCGTACGTGTTTGTTTGTTCCAGTTTTTCTTGTTGGTGGTGGAGTCCACACAGACTTGGGAGCATTTCAAAGTAAGGGGAGCTTGGAAGCTGGACCAGTGCGTTCTGCCCTGCAGCAACATTCAGAGAGCCAATTAGAGGGAAAGCAAAATAGGAAATGGGATTTGGGTCACGGGAGACAAGAGAGAGAAAGGGTGAGGGAGGATAACCTTCTAATGACTTACTGCCTCACCCTTCGGTCATACATTCTCTAAGCAGAATGATCCGAAATCCTCCACCAAACAATTATAACAGGTTTATTGGTATTTCATTTTACTGGACACTATTCACTGGCTTAATAGCGTCCTTATGATTTCCTTGCAAGGAACTGTTATGTAAGTACATTTCTTTAAAGGTTTACATGAATTATTGTTTTAGGGTGGTTAAGCACAAACTTGTATTCGCCTTTGGGACATTAGTTGAACTCCCCAGTGATGAAACAATACAACAGGCCTCACAAAGCCAGAGAAAAGGGTATTCTAACTTCAGCAGTAAGGAAAAGATTCACATATATTAATAAATACACACACGCAGTAGTATATGCAGTAAGCAGTTTAGGGAGGACTTGCAGCTTCTGTGATACTCATGAACAATTTATAAAAACGACCATTCAGTTTGGCTCCGAGCATAAACACCAAAGTCATGTTCAATTATTGATCCTCTACTAGCTGCTCGGGCCGTAAGAGGATCCTGTCTGTTGATATGAATTTAATTTCACAGTCAAGCTGGTTTCCACTGGGAAACATAGGTAAAGCAAACATAAAAATTGTAAATTACAATAGATATCAACTTTCTACAAAGTGGTTAAAACTACAACAATTTGAAGCGAACTGGCAACAATTCATAAGAATAAGATTTTACAGAAAATCCCGGTAAGACAGCAGCATCTAATGTGTTTTTGAGTGGAGTTTTCGCCCCTGATTCAAACACCTGAGATGTAACGTAATAAAGCTGCTACTGTCAAAGTGCCCATGAGCAAAGCAAGGAAGACCCCATTTCATTTTTGAAATCCTCTCTGTCTCTCTTTTTTATCTTTATTTTCAGTAAGGTCATGTGTTTCCATCCCTGGTCAGACGTCACCCTTCCTCTCATGAAAAAAGAAGAAGTTGTCAAAGTGATTGACAAGTGGGCGGAGCTTGTTGAAGAACTAGGAAGCACGTACCCCTGGGTTCAAGTATGCGATGCACACACACACACACACACACACACACATTCCCATTAAAGTTCACCAATGATTGATCCAGTTTGTCCCACGGCTGCAGACATGTAAAATGTAGCAGCAGGTAACCTTTCGTCACTGATCTTTGTGGATCATTGGATAAAACTTTAATGATGCCTCTGGGCAACTTGCAAATTTAAACCGCAGCAGCAGCGAGAGAAGGATGTGGATAACTGGGACTTTCTTCCTGTATAAAATGCTATAAAAATTTCTATCGCAGATAAAGATGCTGTTTTTGACGTTATATTTAGAGGTCAGAAAATAATGTTGAGCGTTCCTGGTTAAGACTCATTATTCAGTAAACAGATTGATATTTTCTATCTGAATCAGGAAAAAACCACATGTTTTTTTGGTTTTGTTCATTCAGTATGTTAAAGCCCCCAAACAAGACAGCACACAAGACTCCTAAAAACACTGTTAGTTATTTATTTTTTATTAAATGTACATTTTTTTGCAACACTGCTTTTATTTCCCCACCCTCAAATGGCCAGTCGTGTATCGTTACCTTCCTTAGAGAACAGTGACCTCCGTCCATTTCTCTAGTCTGCACAGAGATGTGGACTACTGTGGCCGTAAAGCATCAACATTCTAGGTTTATATTTACTTTTATGTTGAGATATCCAATGTTAAAAACAATTCTAAGTCATATTCTGGATATCTGTTTACCATCATGGTGGTACTGTTGGTATCTTACGATATTGTCAAATCAAAAATCCTTCCGAAGATCCGAGAAAACCTGCGCGTGCAGACATCTTTTGAAATGTCCAAGGGGATCCCTAAATATTCTCACTAAACAGACAAAAGCCTACATAGCCGCAGGGGAAATGAAACCGTATTATCTATCAAATATCAGCAGCAAGAACATCACTATTTTCCCAGCCCCTCCAGTTTTATGCCATCTTCATCAGCGAGGCTTTGCTCTGCTCGAGAGTCCCTCAGAGACTTGTTCAGTTTGACTTTTGACTCGAGGAGGAAAACCAATTTTTCTTCAGGTGCTGACATCTGAGGCACCACCAAAGGGCTCTTTTCTTCCTTCTCTGCTCTTCTCTTAGAAGTGGTTTTGTGTTAGTTTTGTAGCACTATATAGGACTGAAAAAGGTCAGCTAAACTGGGTTTTCTCTGTTTTTCTGTTTTTAGATCTTTGAGAACAAAGGAGCTATGATGGGCTGCTCAAATCCACATCCGCACTGTCAGGTAGGAAATGCACAGACGCACTGAAGGTCTTTATTTTACTTTCCTGTATGCGCTAATGCGATGTGATTTCAACTACAAGTTAGTTACTTGTCCTTGAAGTGAGAACATAAAGTTCAGGAATAAGAGCATTCAGACACCAGCCACCTCTTTCAGTTCCAATACCTTCAAGGTGCAGCACTACAAAAGTCTGCTTCATTCACTTCCAGTGAGGAACTTTGTGAACCTGTAATATACAACGTCCCAGCAGAGGGCAGTATGTCCTCAAAAAGACACGGTTTTAGAACACTGATCATGGTACTTGTGGAAGAAAAGTAGAGGAGCAACCTATACCACTTTGAATAGATTTCGTATTAAGATGGATTTCAAACCTTCATATATATACATGTGTGTGTGTGTGTGAGTGTGTGTGTGTGTGTGTGTATCTAGTTGGTCTTGTTTTTGCGTTTATTAAAGTTCCGCGATTAAAAAAAGGTGTATTTTTTATTGCCATCCACTCGAAAACGTTTCTGAGACAAAATCAAACCTGGATCCAGTCTTTGATGAAGCTTTAAACAGTTATCATTTTTGTTATTTTATTTCCTGCAGTCCTAAGACATCAAAGTCTAGGAAGAGAGAGTAAGTGTGCGTTTGTGTGTGTGCGTTTGTGTGTGTGCGTTTGTGTGTGTGTGTGTGTGTGTGTGTGTGTGTGTGTGTGTGCGCGCGCAGCCACGCAGCTCGTCCAGGCCAGAATGCGAGAAGAGTAGATCTAAAACTTTGAAGAATAACGAACAGAGACTGTTAATGATATTCTGCTGGCGTCTTTGCTTCTGAAAACTTTGGTCTCAGAGGGACAGAGCTGTATGTATTTTCATCTGAGTGCTGAAAGGAAAAACATATGCTCCTGTAATAGTAATAGTCTTCTTCACGTGAGCAATCCCAACTGTATTCATTCTGTGAGGTGGTCATGGAGTATTTGAATTGAGTAAGTATTTACTTCTGATATGATATTGTCAGTCTTTCAATCTTGAAAGTTCTGTCTTGTGAGAAAAAAGGATAGAATTCATTTTTCTCATGTGTTATTATCTGTTTTTACTATTTTCTACCTTTTCCTCGAGGATCAGCAGACTGCTGATGGCACGATGTAAGAAAAACAGGTGTACAAATAGAGCCAAGTGGCTATTAGAGGCATGCAGACGTACAGTATTTACACATACAGTTCACATGCCGTTTCTCTTTGTCCTCCTTGGATCATGCTCATAAACATTTTGCAGCCTTTAGCCAATAATAACAAGTTATTAATATAAACTCCATGCTTGGCTGGGTTTTAATCCCATTACAGTAATTGTGGTTTTACCAAGGTATAAATGCCAACAACCTTGAATAATTCTTTAGCAGATTATTTTTATTGCATTTTTTTTAGCTTAGAATCTAAAGGATACAGTCATATACAAGGAAAGCCAGCAGGAGCCTCATGAAATTACTCCAAAGCTTGATTGTCAAAATACCCTTTTTCCCCCCTCTGCTGTAATAGAGGAAGCCTGTGACAGTGTGATTTCTACACTTCATTCTGGTTAAAAATATGCCGGAGTGTTTTATCACAAAACAATTCGCCATACAGCCTGAAGCGGTGCTCCTGAAAGCAGCACACAATGCCGCTGATTATTACTTTTTTCATGCGATGGAATATTATAATGGGAAAACCGACTCCTTGTGACACAAATATTTTACCTTCAGAAAAAAATCTATTTTAGTAGGCCAAAAATCTCTATAAAAAGGCAAAAAATAATAAGGCAAATTCGTTTGCACTAATAATGCCCGCCCCGTACAATGTGTAAAAATAATGAAGGAAACCAAACTAGGGGCCAAAAGAAAGACCACTGCCCATCAGAAACACACACAACCTACTCTGCTCCTCATTGCTGCAATAACTCATTGATATTCTGGTCAAGGTCTCACTCATCAAAGCAAGAATATGTATATTTTGTTTTGCGTTCCTGCATATACACACGTCCATTGGTTTGAATGCTAGTCACAACAAAACCATATTTGCAAAGACCCAGCTGTGGATTCATCATGCAGCAGTGACTCAGTTAGTTACACGTTAAAGTCATTGGCACCTGCTTTTACAGCCATTAAAATACCATTAAGTGATGGTATGATGGAGTGATATTTATCCATAAAGAGCATTCTCAAATGAGGTTGTACGTTATGTACAGGTACATTACGAACTCATTCCACTGCATAGAAGCATCATTAAAAATGAAGTAGAAACTATTTTCCTCGAATCAAATAGCCTGCAGCATCTCATCCGTTTTAGAGCGTGAAACTGTCGGTTTTCTCCAGGGATGAGATCTCATTGAGTGTTTAAAACCATCTGACACAGAAGGCCCGTTGGTGGCTGATGAGAGGGAAGTCCCAACATCAAAACTGCTGCTTTGAACTTGTAACCCTTTTTTAATAATTCTTTTGAGCTTCATAACAATTATGAAGCTAATTTCCTCAGCGAGTGTGTCTCTGTCTCTATTGGCATGAGAGTGGTCGAACATCCTGCATGCATGGTGATTTATATTTATAGTCTACTGGATTTTCTTGATCTATTACTAATGCTTAGTAAATCTCCCTCTATTCTATCTTTGTATCTGTGTAAAAGGAAATAAAAGATCATGCCAGCATTTCTATATAATTCAGCCCTTGTGGAGGGAAGAGATTGTGACTGGGAAAGAACATTATCACTACGTTCAATGTTGTTTCAATTAGAGTCCTTGGAATCCTTCTTCTCTATAACCTTTAATATATTATTCATTGCGAGTTTAACTTTTAAAAACTCAGCTAATCTGCTGCTACGGCAAAAGTTGCTGAATTACTCAGTCTAAAAGGAACGAGGTAATTGGAATTAGACCGGGGGGAATGGGCAGATTGCTTATCCAGTCTATTATAGATAATTCCAAGTTTTGAGATTTCGGTTATGTCTCATCATCATGTCCCTCCATCATCTTTCCGACTCTTGTTAAATTATAGGTGTGGGCCAGCAACTTCCTTCCCAACGAGCCGGCTCTGTCAGACCGCTGTCAGAGAGCCTTCCATCAGAAACACGGAGAGCCGCTGCTGCTGCAATACGCCAAACAGGAGGCCGAGAAAAAGGTACACCCACTGCAAAGTAAACGCAAATGCAAATTATGTTCTGAAAAGAACACTTTGCCTTCAGAGGCTTATCATTTATTTTGCATTGGTTTTACCTTCATTTGGGTATTTTTCCATTTGTCCAGAATAGCTTTTAACAGTCCTACAGAGAAGGTGGTTTTCTTCTATTGAAGTACATTGAGGTTATATTGAGAAAAAACACACATGTAAAGGGGGGGGGGGGGGGGTTAGTCTGCCGTCCAGCATTCGTTTCGGGGATTTCAAGTGATTGAAATTGAGAAGAAATTGTTTGAGTGTGGCCATCAACCATGTATAGCTTACGTTAGAAGTTAGCGTAAAAATGTATTCAAAAGCAGAATCAAACATTTAGTCTTTAGAAAATCTGGCATCGCAGGCTACAGTCCCATTACACACAGTGATACATGGCTCGAGAGGCCTCAGCTTATTAAGTGCTTTTTTTTTAATGCCCCAATTGATCACGACACTGACATTTGGATCCGATGACCACGCCAGATACCGTAAAGGGTGATGGGGAAATAATTTCAGCCAATTGGCTGATAACAGTGAATATTAACCATGACTACCTCCATTGCCTCTCCCTTAATCTATCAACTTCCACCTGCTCCCAACGAACCTCGCTCTTTTTCTCCTACTTTATCTTTCTCCTTTGTCCCCTCTACTTACTCCGCCTGTCTTTGAGTCATTGAAGCCTGTCATTGGACAGCAGAGATACTCATTAGCATAATGCGGTGTCATCCGTCTTTAACCTGCTTGAAGATAATGGGAAAAAAACAACTGTGTGTGTGTGTGTGTGTGTGTGTGTGTGTGTGTGTGTGTGTGTGTGTGTGTGTGTGTGTGTGTGTGTGTGTGTGTGTGTGTGTGTGTGTGTGTTGAGTGATTTCCCAGTCATGTTTGTGGAGCAGCAGTAACCATTGATGAAAGGTTCCAAGCCAGCCAAACTTCTAATTAGTAAGAAGAGATTTGTTTGAATCCGTGGAGGAACTCTACAGTAGAATTAGACCCGACAGGGCCGTGACCTCTTCGCTTGCCGGAGCTGTGGAACGAGATGGTTTGCTTATGGTACTTTTGGTATAAACTGCACGTAATCTCAGGTTGTATTCAAAGCTAAACCTCCTGTTGAATCTAATGTCTATCTAATGATAATCCAATCCAAGCCAAATGTGCTGCCCGTTTATCTTTTCCTCATGCAATTCACTTTCAGCACTTTACCTTTTGCACTTCCTCCTCTAAGTCGTCCTTTGAGTTTAAGAAGTGATTAATGGAAAACCCGTTTTTAAAATGTACCTTTAAGAGGATTATTTGATGTCAACTCATCACTTTCCTACCCATATTGATTGTGCTGTGTGTTCAGTGTTATTCAAGGGTTTACTTACCTTAATATCACTACTATGGTGTGTCAAATAACTAGTACATTTTTTCATTCAGATTATTTAGTGATTTGTAATACTGCCTGTTTATGAGGCTGCCTCCACAAAATGAACGTAAAAACATTATTAGTTATGTCATTAATAAACAGATTATTATTGTTAATGGTAAACTTTTGTCATTTAAGTGACTAAAAATACATAAATCTTTAAGAATAATTGCAAAGGGAGAATGGGCTTGAGGACGAGGGGAGTAAGGACAGACACACAGTTACATACAGCGACAGGGCGGGAAGGATATAAAGTTCATTTATATTTTAAGGATAACTCACATCACTGATAATATTATTAATTATAATTGTAATACAACAATATTTTTATGGACTTTGGTGTGATTTTGATTTGAGGACTTATTATTTCTCATGTTTTCTATTTTTTGATTCATTATGTTTTGCATTTTTTCCTGTGTGTGTGTGTGTGTGTGTGTGTGTGTGAGAGACACAGCGAGATGGGATAGCATCAAGGTTTTGAGAGGAGCAGGGGGGTAGACGTGCTCATGGGGACTGACCTTTATAAAATCAGAGTGGAAGCGTGTGTGTGTGTGTGTGTGTTTGCGTGGATTTGTGTGCGTGTGTATGTGACTCTGTCTCTCTGACCCGAGGTTAGGACGGTAAATTGGCACACTGCAGTGTTTGGAGGAGTTTGAATTGGGGTTTGGCTCCCCGGTGACACTCTTGACTTTGAAACCAAAAGTTTCTAAGCTAATTGAATCAAACTCTTTGGGATTTGCAGTCTGTGAGGTGACTGTTTTAGGACATCCTCCACTTCCTCCCTCTCTCTTTCTCTTTACTCCAACCCTCCCTCTCCCCATCCTCAATCTCCCCGCTCTGTCCGGGTTCTCGTTATTATTCTGTTTCCATTCTGCTCCTTTATAATCCTGTTAGCAGCATCAGAGGACGGATATGTTGGAATAAGAGAGTGAGGAAGGTAGATATTGAACTGGAGAAAGTTGTAGAATATTGTAAGAAGGAAGAATAAAGTGTAAAGTAATAGATTTGAATAACAACAATAAAAAAGGCTGTTGGTTGCTAAACACCTTATAGATTCACATTAGAGAATTTACTCTTTTTCATCCCCTTTAACAACATTCGATGAACAGGAAGCTTTACAAAGTGTTATTGCACCGAGCACTAAGTAGAATCCTATATTGCATGTGAAGTTCATTAGGATTCAGTTAGATTACTCTTATTTTTAAACACCACAGCATTCCCAGTGGATGCATTAATTATGCATCAATGCCTGGACAAGTTTGTCGAAACCTCCAGGAGGTTTCCTTTCTGGCCGAGGCAGCCAAAACATTTTGTTTCACATTTTAATTATTTTTCATACCGTTCACACAGAACAGTATTTATGTTTTTTACTGACGTTTTGAGAGACTGTTTATGTTGATCTTGGGATTAATATGAAGCTGACTTTTACAAGATTCTTGCAGCGGCTGTTTAGCACGCAAACACACACACACACACACACACACACACACACACACACACACACACACACACACTCTTTTTCTGATTAATTGTAATACCCGAGGTCAGGTTGTGTTTGTGCCCACTCATCAGCTTGTTGAATCTCAGACTCTGACACATTCTGCATGTAAACAGTTTATGGTAATGAGACTTCCTGCAGTGAAAAGCCACTGACCTGCTTTAAAACCGGTTTGAGTAACGTAAGAGGGCCCTCAGCCGACCTTTGCACAGTTTTCTTTTTATTACTTATCACGCTTCGTATTTATTCATGTCATCATTTTCTCAATACATTGTGGGGTGAGTTGATAAGCCAAAGTGATCTGAACTTTCTCTGTTTATGTATTTGTGTTTATTGTAACTATAAGGGCGTAAATCAACATTCAGCTTTAAAATTGTTCCAGGTTTCTAAAGCGCTGTCAAAGAGCGTTGAGCAGGATTCAATGAAAGCAATGTCACGAAATGAGAAAATCTGAGACAACAAGTCAACTTGTAGCAGATGGTTGCGAGACATTTAGCCCTCTGCAATGTGGAATATGGTGTGATATACTGACCGCTGACCGGCCTCAGAAAGATCTTTTAAGAACTTCCATTCCCTGAAAAAGGGGGTTCAAGGAGCACATTTTTGGGCAAACCATTCAATAGCTGTTGAGATATTTCAGTCCGAACGGACAGAAGGTCATTGCCGTCGCCAGAAACCTGCTGCGAGCTTTGCCCCTTGTCCATTCTACAAGCTCGCCACTCGACACCCGGGGGACCATAAAGCAGCCATGACTTTTGTCTTCAATTGTATTAAATACATATATTTACACAGTTTATATGTATATTTTTTTCAATGTGCCATCCGTGTTGCGCCGATTAGATTGAACCACACAACGTAGTGTTGCTTCAGGTTCAGTCAAAGCAAAGCACGCTAGCAAAAAAAGTTTTTTCATAAACATCACGATATCACTTCCAGGCATTTTCCCCCCCTAAATAATTTGCGTCCCTCCTCTAGGAGCGCGTGGTGGTGGAGACTTCTGATTGGCTGGCGGTGGTTCCGTATTGGGCGACATGGCCGTACCAAACGCTGTTGTTGCCACGACGCCATGTCCTCCGGATCAATGATCTGACCGCAGAGGAGAGGGAAGGTAAAGAAGACGCTGACAGGGAGTGACTGGGCAAGCGCCGAGGTAATTATCAGTTTAAGGGGGAGTCAGCGGCTCATTGGGGAACCCAAAGGATCCGTTTCTGACCGAGCGGTCTCCTGTGGTTCTCTGCACGCACGTCTCTTCCTCTTCCATGTTCATCCACTGCTAATTCAAGCAACTTTCACGTCATAGAGTTCAAATCAGCAAAATGTTTAATTTGTTGAATGCCTGTCAACACTCCCTCTATTGTATATCTTATAAAGCAACACAGTGCGTTACTAATTGTTCACCTCCCTGTGCCTCTATCATTAGGGCGGGTAGACGACTCAAGCAGATGTTGTCGTTGTTTTATGAGCATTAATTATCTTACGGTTGTTGAGTTCTTGTGAGATTTCACACCGTTCCCTCTGAAGGAAAAACACCGTTGCATCCCTCAGTCGGCTAGTGGCTCGTGGGAAAGACTTCTGTTAAACACCTGAGAGTCTATTTAGCTGATTGAGCTTCTATGTCTATGTCTATTCTATGTCGTGAAGGTGTGACGCCGAAGGTGCGTCAATAAAACGGATCGCTCAATCTGTATTAACAGAATATGGTCACAGTTGTCACAAAATGGTATCGTGGTATCTGGTAACTGAATTATTTGGAAATATCAGGTTATTGATGTGGGATTGTTCTACGCCGTGCGTCTGTGCCTAATAATTGGTAATTCAAATTCTAATTAGGAATGTTCCCAATTGACAAAACCCAATTGATTTAGTTTGAGCTGTAAATGGAACTCGTCAGTTGTTATTAAAGATTTTGTAGAGTAAAACATGCTGATTATTATTTAATAGCTTAGATTAATTAACTCCTACATTTTCAGCTGAGACTGGTTATCGGTTATGGAACTTTCGCTAATTTGATCACTGCCCTACTCGGTATGAAATATGATCCTTCTCTTCCAACTCTCCTCCTGTTTTCTGTCTCTCCATCAGGTCTGGCTGATATTATGAGGCGACTACTGACCAAGTATGACAATCTGTTTGAAATCTCCTTCCCCTACTCCATGGGCTGGCACGGTGAGACGGAAAGACAATAGTTTCAATAGCAACAACCGATTCTAAAGTTGCTTTTATAGAGTGACAGAAGGAGAGAAGCGCAGATGGCGGGAAAGGTCAAAGATATTTTTAATCTTAGTACATGACGAAGCGCCGTTCATATTATTATTACTATTTGCAAAGGCTTTGACATATGCAAAAGTATATATTTTGAAAGACTTATTAGTGTTTTTTTTCTTCCTGGCATTTATATTGCATTAATATTGACGGGTACATAAATTACAATACAGTGTATTGCAGGTAAGATGACTCCTGTTGCGCTTCAATCATCTCTTTTCCAAATACATTGACAAACGACTCAGAAACATCACCCTATTTAATGTTTTTAGGACACGCATAACCACAATGAAAATCCGGAATTCACACAGGTTAAGAGCACTTAAATCATTAGTCGCTCTACGTCTCCTCATGGTGGAATTTTCAGGCTCTCTAGAAGCTGAATGCTGTTCAATAGCTAGTTTCTAACTTCATTTTGATGCACTATCTGGGAGGGACTGTTCTTTGGGTTTTTAGAGCTTTTCTTTGCTCCCTGTTGCTGCTGTAATACATGCAAATGAGAATGTTGGCACCATAAGCAACACCTTTCACATTACTTATAGTCATCTGAGTAATGCCAGCTAGATCTATTTCTTGTACCCTGCTGGGCTTCCAGGTGTTTATATTTTACTTTTCAGGAGATGATTTCATTTCCCTAGAGGTAATTTGAAATCGAATGCGAGAAGTATTTGTCTGCTCAACTTTTCCTGACCTCTGGTGCCGAAAGTAGTTGTTACCCTGCTGTTATTAATAATACTAATTTAATGATGTAATGATGTGAGCATTTTATTTATCTCTTGCATCCTGATCTGGCTCAACTCAACTTAATTTCTACCCCTCATTTCTACCCCCCGTCCGTATCCTGTGCTTAAATTACTTTTGCATTACACCAAAACAATAGAAGTCAGAGAAAATGAAAGAACCAGTAAGCAGACAGAGAGCAAGTGAATAAGCGAGCAAATTGCTTTTTCGTTATGACCAAAAAGCATTTGCAAAGATCTCTGATGAAATCCAAAGTAAGTCTATTTATGAATAGCTCCCACCACAACAGTCAAGATGAGAGAATTCGTTATCTTCATTTAACGAGGTCCAGGCCAGGGTTTGATTGGCCTGCTGTTCAGAAGCAGCTTGCACAAACACAGAAGACCGTAACGCGTTATACAAAAGAAAGGTGTTTGCCGTCGAGTCGGCCGTTCTTCCTCTTGTGAATCTCAAGCTCTGCATCGGCACTGGCTGATATTTACCTTTAGCGAGACGGCGAGGGACATGAGAGAAACCCACTGTGCGCTTTGTCAGGGAGGAGCTCCTCGCAGCCGGTTTCAAGCCAGAACGAAAGGTCAGGAGGGTGCAGCGACGCGACGTGTGACAGGGAGGAGAGGACGAGTCATCGCGGCTGAGTGGTCAGAGCGGATCTTTGTAGGAGCAGAGGGTTGCAGGTTCAAACCCCCGACTAATGCATTCCTATTCAGGGCGGTGTCCACTCCGTGAAGATAAACGCTGCAGCGTGGAATACAATCTGTACACACGCTATATAGCGGGGGTGGGGGGGTACCTGTTTCTCAGCAAGTGCTGATCACATTGAGATCTTTTCTGTTCTCCGGTTGTTGCGTCTCTATATTACGAATCCGAATCCACAGGACGGGATTTCTCATTGTTCATGAGCAGCCTCAAGCCAGTGAGGTGAGCACATAATGACTATTTAGGACCAACAACAAGGTTAGAATCAACTTTATTTAATTTAGTCCACAGCTTTGTAGTCGTGAAGAGACACATCCAAATTTGAGGTTGGTTCATGAGCATCAACTTGTATTGACTGTCTTGTCTCGATGCATTTTGGAGAAGAAAGCGCTGACATTTTGTGAACACGTCTCATCACCTTGGGCCTTGGTCCCTGAAATAACTTGATTTTGAAAGTTTCAACACTCAAACTATAGTGCGGAGAAGAAGACAGAGGGCATGAGAGGACACAGTCATTGACTTCTTCATTTTATTTTATCAAACAGTAAATCTTTGAAGTAAAAAAAAGTTGCCTGTGGTGAAGGTTCCTTCTGATCTTGTCTAAAGTTGTGCCTGTAATCTTGTGTGTTTTATTTCTTAGAGGGCTAGAAAGTCAAAAGCTGTGTTGCAACATCTGTTGAAGGTTATACACACATTTTTGGCAGGTTATTTTCTGTGACAAAGAGAATGATGTTTTTTTTTCACAGGCTTTGCGTGTATTCACAGCTTTAAAGTAAAATACAAAATGTAGCGTGGTACCCATCAGGAACAGTGTTAATATTGCATCATTTCAACACATAGATTAACATTTCTACAGTCAGAATATAACTTTATGTCCGTCCAAATAGAAACAAGTCGTCTCTTTGTCAAATAGTCACAGTTACTAATCTGTCCTCATAGAATCTTCATCAGTGGCATTTAGACCCCTTTTCATTCTAGTTTAACACATATGGTATTCTGTGTGGTATGGATTTATCAGCCTAATATATCAGCTTTAAGATTTACTTTATTTATTACAACCTTTGCGACAAATAGCCCAAATATTGACCGCCAAAAGCAGTTTCATCATCCAGTGACAAAGCTTCCTCGCTTCTACTTCCTTGTGTTTTTATATTTTGTCTTGTTCTTGCAGTGCGGTCAATTTTTCTTTTTCTATAACTGGCAAAAGAACCTTAAAATCTCCGTTCGTTAGTGTTATTATCACCTTTTATCAAGAGGGAAGACTGCTGGTGGTGTGTTTTGGTGCACGTACACACACAGTGAGTCTGTCACACATGCACACACTGACAGTCTAGCTTTAAAACGCACACACTCCCATATTCATGCACGCACACCCGGACCTGGCACACTAATCAGTTACCTTATCCCCCCCCCATCTGTGTTTGTCCTTTTATTCAAGCTCACTCCAGAGCAGCTGGCTTTTATTTTGGCGGGCTTTATTGTGTTGCTCTGTGGGTTTGGATGCTGTTTGAGTCACTTGGGTAATTGTTAAAATGTGTGGCTCTCTAGCCTGTATTAATGGTAAGTTTGTATTCTTTATATTATATTAGAGTCTTCCAGAACAAACACTAAGTTTGAAACTAAAGTGTACTATCAGGAGCATCCGTCTCTCTTCATTCCTAATCTTGTGTCGTCTCTATCAGTGTCTAATTACCCCCTATTGTAAGGAAACCGTCTCTCTTATAGTGAATACAATGCCTTTGTGATTCTATTTTTGATAGGCTTTTGTGTTTTTAAATAGAGATTGTTCACCTTCTACTTCTAATCTCCTTCCACTAAGATTAGAAAGCACCGCAGGCAAAAAAGAAGGTATTAAAATGTCAAATACAGCCACAAATCACTGAAAATGTGTCTTTGGTAATGACCCTCTCAAAGGGTATCTATCAAATTGTGTGATAATGACATTTTTAATGCACTAATCGGCCAGTTTTTTTTCATGTAAGACAAAGAAATAGTGACAGATTCTAGGAAAAAGGCTTCCACAGAGGAAAGCAGAGATTGTTGTTGAGTATGAAAAAATAATGTGAACACATGAGATGTCCTTCATTAAACCTCAACCCAGGTATAACAGCTCACATTCGGCCCTGCCTTTGATTTCTCTTTGGGAACATTGATTTGGGTAAATTTGTGTGATGAAAAAACATTTCTCACGTGGCCATTTATCTAATTCGGTATTGGTCACACAAACAAAACGCCACGAACATGAAGCGCTGCAGCCAAACTAATTAAACCTAAACTATTGCATTCATTACCCACAGTTTAATACTGATGCATTCATTTAAAATACAAACACCCGTGTCAGGGGTGCCTGGTAATACTGTCCAGTATCCAGGATTTTATTAGACCCCTGGCGGCTAATAAGAGCTGGTCATGGTATAAAACAACCAGAATAAAATGGATCTCCGGTTGCCCCTTACAGGAAGTGCTTCATCCCTTTAAAATCTAGATTTATTTTTTTTACCCTGTACTTGTAAGTCACCCACCGAGTGAACATTGGCTGCTTCTTTAATTTATCCAGGGAGATGAACGCGCTTGTTGTGTCCTGGCTATGCACACACCTTAATTAGCCACCACTGTTTGATTGGGCTGTCATTCTGTTTGCGTCTGTGTGTTTACCTGTAACGCCAGTTTTGCAGTAACACGCATATTGTGTACACATTCACAAATGTTGCTTTCATCACAGAAAGAGTTTGTCGCAATTGCAAATCACAGTTTCAGTTGGCGGGAAATTTGAGTGGTTTCCTTTCCCGTCTCACCAATTCCACTAGAAAATCACAAATATTGGATACTATCTGTCTGCTGGATAACCTGTGCAGACCAGTGTGAACACACAACACCAGAGCAAAAAGGAAAACCTGAATCGTTGGGAAAAGGCTTTTGTGTGTGTGTGTCTGCTGGTGCTACGGAGTGGAATAAACTGCCTCTTGCAATTCAGGATGTTCAGAGCACACAAGCCTTTAAAGGAAAAACGGATGTGGTCGTGTCTCTCCCTCTTCGGATGATATAAAGCCGTCTCCATCTTGGATGAACCAATGGCTGACCGGGATTGAAATCTCTGATTGATTGAGCCAAGCTGCCTCTGTGTCTGAAGTCTAATGCCTCCCTTTTTCATTCAGGAGCCCCGACTGGCCCCCATTTAACGGAAGACAATTCCCATTGGCAGCTTCATGCTCACTACTACCCTCCTCTGCTGCGCTCAGCTACCGTTAAGAAGTTCATGGTGGGGTATGAGATGCTTGCCCAGGAGCAAAGGGACCTGACCCCTGAACAGGTGAATATTATAAAAACAACTGGTGCAAAGCCAACTTTGTATTACAGAGTTTCTCATTAATTCTACTGATCTAAAATAGTATAGCATGAAGTAGCCGGATTTGAGATTTGTTACCAGGGGCTTTGTTTTCACCGCAGGCCATCAAAAGCTGACAACCTCACAGCATACTAAGTACATTGCAATACCAGGATTGCACTAGATTTTCTCTCTGTGCCTACATGCATCTTTAAAAATGTATGAACGCCAGGCGCTGCTTTGTTCTTGTACTTTTAGGCTGCTGAGAAGCTAAGGAACCTATCAGAAGAACACTACAAGACCAGAGACAACTAAAAAGAGACGGAGGAATATGAAGTATAAGTGTAACGACCTCTGTGACTGATGAATTGCTTTTTTGGGAGGAATTACTATGATTATCACTTTCAAACTTGACATTTAACACATGGTGCAGCACATTAAAGTCCCTTTGTGAACAGATGCAGTAATGTGTATATATTTGTAATACATTTATGTGGACAAAGAAAAGCTGTTCTTTGCTTCCTTACTGTAATTAGGAAATGGCCTCAAACATAATTGTCAATCAAACTCCTAATTAACGTTTTAAAGGGGACATTTAGAAAACATTTACTCCCTCCCACTCTCCGTTTGGTCGAGCTTAAACACACTTTGTTGGTTGTTTTTTCGTAATGAAAGCCTTTGGACCACATTGCTTATTTGTTCCAACAACACAAGCAGTTGTTTGTTTGTTTTTTGTGAATGTTGTCACATGTAAAGTATATAACTCCTAAAGTAGTTAACGGCAATCCAAACGACAATTTTCCGCCCCAAAGGACTGACAGTACAGTGCTTTATTTTGCATAGAGGAATGATTTGAGAGATTTCATGTTTTTTTCCTTTCGCTTAAGACAACAAAGTTATCCTGAATTAACATAAAAAGAGCATTGCTACGCAGCTCCAAGAGCGGTATTGAATGTGAAATGCTTTGACGAATGCAATAAACCCGGTTATTTGACACTTCCTTTGCCAATGCGGGATGCAAAACAACTCCGAATAACAAGTATTCCAAATGAGGAGGGCAACCGAGCAGTAAGCCGTGGCCAATCAATGCATGGAGGAGATGTTTTCAGCAGAACATGACGTTGAATATTTCAGCACCATGGAGAGAGACACTGCCTTTCTGTCCGTGTGTCAGGACCATGGACAGATGCACTGACTGTATGGAGACTTTGACTGAGGATAACTGCACATGTATTTCAAGTGTTACACAGCAGAAGAAGATGCAAGAGTAACTACGGTATCCGGTCTAGACATCAGAAGGGAACCGTCAAGCATCCTGTTGCCCACGGGATGCTAGACACAGAAGACTATTCAGACTTCATATGTGGTTTTAGAGTTGTGTTGGTAATCCACGGACTGTATTATGATTCTTTACTTCTCAAATTTAATTGGGAGTGTCAGCCGTTTCTATAAGTGATGTACGCGCGGAAAGTAAGTTCGACTTAACTAATCACAGACCTAACCGGGATTATCGAGAGCTCTGGATCCGGAGTGTAGCGAGCGGGCTCATACCATCATTCCATCATTTGGCACTAAACTCCAAAAACTAAACGGGTAACACCAAGTTGACTAGCAGGTGATTATGAACAGTGCAAGTAAAAACAAAAATGAATTCTTAACATGTTAAATGAGGTGTGCTGTCTTTATGACAACAGCAGGTGGCAACGTTGCTTAAAATGTGAGGCAGATTAGCTGCATTTTGACTGATAATCTCAATCTGTTTTACTTTGAATCAATACTTTCTAATGTAATCTTCTTATCAGTTGAACAAAAAGTAGACATGCATGTACACCCTTTCACCTCAGCCGGCATGTCAGGGTCAGCTACAGATTAGTTTCCCTTCAGCACAGTAGCTGTAGTATTCTAGAAAACTCAAGAGGGTTGTTGATGTATGTTTGTCTCAGGCGTAAGGAAAATAACATTACGCAAACGTTGTGTGCACATAAGATGGTGAACTTTCCGTCTAGTGCCACTTTTCTGTCGCTGACAGTTGTGAATATTTACACACGTAATGTAAAACTAATCCACTGCCACTGTTACCCGGAGATCAAGCACACAACATGCAGTTTATGGTTATATCGGATTTCGATTAGTAAGATGGACATCTACACTGTAAGAGGATGTGAAGCATTCTGACAACAGGGGAAGAGGATGACGGTAATGTACATTACGCGGTTTAAGGAATTTGCTAGTGGCCACTCACCCTCTTTTCACCTTTTGTGGTGCTTTTTAAAATTTACTTATCTGTAGCTTTTGGGTTTGGCTGCCATTATCAAACAAAGTGGCAGCAAAATAAATGTTAAAGCTTCAGTGGCCATGAAAACATGAATCATATTGTTTGCATCTCATGTATCGTAGTCATGAGATGCAACCAAGCAGCAACAACCAGTTCTGAGAATTGAAGTATTCTTTTTTTAATAGTGGTAGTACTAAAGTATCTTGCACTTGGATTCTCTCTACTAGCCAGTAAGGGGACACTTCTCCAGTTTCAAAAAAGTAGTCTGAGAACAAGAAAGAATAATAATAATTAAAAACATTAAAACAAAACAGTCAATGCCTATGATATAAATGGTTATAATATATAAAGCAATAAGAAGAAGATGGAAACATTACAAATAAGTATAACTTTATTTTATATACACAAATGGAACGTATTTGTAGCAGTCTGTGTCCGGCATGGCCACAACATGAAGCACAACCAGCCTGGATAAAGCCCCCAACCATGGAAACCTGCGAGCACAAAGCCCCCCCGGGCAAAAAGCTAGTTAATGACGTGCGTTATAGGGACGTGAACGCATGCAGACAGAGGGGGAAGAACAGAGAGAGGAACTGAGTAGGGAACCACTGGCAGTCTAGGCTTATAGCAGCTATGGTCTGACTATTAGCGTTATCTAAACGGAAAGTCTTAAGCGTATGTTCTTCAGTGTGAGGGGTGTGCGTGGAAACTGGAAGCTGGTTCTGTAGTCCGTAGAGCTTGCTAGCTGAATGCTCCCGTCCTGCTATTTGGGACTCTAGTAACTCCTTTACACTTCAGTTGGGTAATAGGATACTACAGGCGCCTTAAGATATGATGGCACCTGGGTAAAAAGGGCTTAGTAGGATAGGGAAAGGGTTTTACACGAAGCAAGTGCAGTGAATCTAATAATGCGGTAATAGGTTTTTTTTTATTGGGTTGCGTTTTTATTGGAACGTGTGCTGCAGCATTTTGGAATTGCAGCAGTCTAGTCCAGCAGTAAAATATTTATCAACATATGTTTCTGCATTGTTTTTTTTAAAGGATGTGCCTGATTTTTGTTACAAAAAGTGAAAAAACGCAAACCGTAAAGAATTCAAGGGTTTATTGTGATTTATTGTGATGAAAAAATACTTTTGGGGTTCCAAAACAATATAGACTGACCCCATCATTAGCATGTATTCCTTTTGAAGGCCCACTGACACAAACACATTTGTACTTTGATTCAGATTTTCAATCAGATGAGACCAAATGCGATATACTTTCTGGAAACACATAATCTTATTTCAATATCCTCAAAAAGGTATTACAAGATTTCACATTGTCAAGAGCACCGTTCCTAAAAAATAAACAAAACTAAGCCAAGAAAATGATTAGAATGTAGTGTTTCTGTCCAGTGGATTACAGACTCCCTGCAGACCTGCAGCAGTATAAAACTATTGAGGCAGTCCTTCCAATTTCATCGTTTTTTTTATGAAAAAACAGCGATTCCCCCTCAACCAACGCCAGTATTTCAAGTTTATTTAAGAAAATGTAATTTCTTAACACTTATTAACAAGATGCCTCGAGGGGCAATTTCAACTGCATGCACCCAATACTTTTATTATTTATAGAACCTCCAGAGAAGCAATCTGTGTTTCTCCATAAATATTAATATTGATTCCGGATTTTGTTTAAAAAATACGGTTGAATAGCAAAGCTTTGATGGTATAGTTCACGGGCCGAGATGTTCTTGGAGGCGGTGGATGTAGGTGAGTCAGTCTTTGCCTGAGTGTGTAGCCCGTTTCATGTAGTGTGACAGAACTCATTCATTCAGGTCAATATTTATCCAGTCCTGCAGGCTTCTTGTGGATCACCTCCTCAGTTATTTCATCTCTCCTTGGAGACTCTCTGCGTAAGCGTGTGTGTTGTGTCTGTGTGTGTTTGTGTGTGTGTGTGTGTTTTCAGGATATACATTTCCACACAGTTAGCAACAAATGTGTGTGTGTGCGTGTTTGTGTCTGTGCATGTGTGTAGCCGGTGTGTATTTCCTTGCTGACAGAGGATAGCTTGGGTCCTTTGCCACGTTGTTGTTGCTCATCTTTTCCAGCACTGTATTGGTAGAGGATTGTTTTCCCAATGTCGCTAATGTTGCCAAAAGTGCTTTGTGAAATCTGATATGTCAATTTTTTTGCAGCAATATTTTCTGTTGTCAATCTGAAAAAAAGTCACAGAAGAAAATACATTTCAACATTTAACCAATTGTCAGAGTGTGGACACAATATCAAACAAATTCCATTATAGTCTTACGAATGTCAAATCAAGTCAAGTAATAGGAGGGCAAATTGTAAATAGGCTGTTAAGGGCAGCATGAAGAAAGCCCACACAAGAGGCACAATCCATCACTTAACCTTAGTCGTCCATGCATCTTCAAGCTGAACCAAATACCAGTTTATCACACCGGAGGAATACCTTCCATAGTTTTGGTCCAATTTGAGCCTCATTTGCTGACCTTTTTGATTCCCTGAGGTTGTGACCGGCAAGCTGATCCTAATTAAAGGGAATTTATTTAAGAATTTGGAGTATAATTGAAATTCTCCCCTATCTTCTCCTGTCTGACCACACCGTGGGAGAAAGATGCAGACGGGGCCAACAACTCAGTAGGCTCCAATTAGCGGGAGGCGTGAGCGAGCCGCTCACCTTCTAATCTGTCAGCTCGACGGGTGCAATAGATCCTTAGACGATAAAGGGCTTGAGAGGCGCGACAGCCAGCAGGATATTAGTGGGGAAACAGAAGACGGCGGACGGCTGTGAGGACAACAAAGAGCGCCTTCATTTAAGAGAAAATCATTTGAGACACCCACCAGCTGCAGCCCTCAAGAATGGCCTCTATGGCATTATCTAAGTCCGTAGAGACTTAGGCTACACCCACACTACTACGTTACGCTTATTCTGAAAATCTAAGCCTAGCGTCCACACTACTGTGGCGTTTGAAGAAAACAACGCTGCTACCACGCACGCGTCAGGCCGGACTCGGACTCCGCTGACATAGACGGCCCTGTTTGCCACTTCATCGGGTCTTTGCATTCAGGACACGCTGTTTACTAATTTGTCAGCGGGCCAGAAGCAAACAAACAACAGCCTTGATTATCGATCGACCGCCGGTGCTTAATTCAACATGGACAACAGTTTACAGGTGTCACTTCCATTTTTGTCTATATTGGCACTTGTTGCAAAGTCAAAGTATGTATCTCATGATGCTGCTTCTACATGCGGAGGAAGCGAGCTGTTATCGGAGCGCTTAGTGAGCGAACTGACCGGCGGTACTAGAAGCTCTTCTGAGCAGACATTGCAAGTTCCTGGCTTTGAGGAAGGAGCTGTACACAATATGGACAGCATTTTCTTTTCTTGTGCGTTATTATTTTGTTCTGCACAATGGAACTGAACACAAACACAAGAGTAGAGGCTTCCTGGTACGTTAGGGACCAACCGGCAGGTCCAATTGTGAGAGCAGACAACAACAAAACCGAAAATCTGTTGACAATCTACTTCCTGCTCACACCCAGCATAAATAACAGTGGTGTGATATTTGTTTCCATGTGTTAGTCTTGATGGAAATCATTTCTAAAACAATGCTGCAACGCATTTCTGGATGTAGATTCTTCATGTAGGAGTGTGGCTACTTAAAAGTAAATAACGTTGCAATATACTGCAGGATTTTCCCAGGATTTGTTCCAGTTGCCTT